ACGCCTTTCTAATGTTTTGTGTATGACAGACGAAGATCACCGTTATCGTTAATTATTGAGTAGTTCTACCTCCGGTGGTAACTGTCACTATGTTACCACTGGAGGTAGGGCAACTCAATGATCACATAACGACAGTCACCACTGGAGGTAGGGCAACTCAATGATCACATAACGACAGTCACCACTGGAGGTAGGACTACTCAATGTTCACATAACGACAGTTACCACTGGAGGTAGGACTACTCAATGTTCACATAACGACAGTTACCACTGGAGGTAGGACTACTCAATGTTCACATAACGACAGTTACCACTGGAGGTAGGGCTACTCAATGTTCACATAACGACAGTTACCACTGGAGGTAGGACTACTCAATGTTCACATAACGACAGTCACCACTGGAGGTAGGACTACTCAATGTTCACATAACGACAGTCACCACTGGAGGTAGGACTACTCAATGTTCACATAACGACAGTCACCACTGGAGGTAGGACTACTCAATGTTCACATAACGACAGTCACCACTGGAGGTAGGACTACTCAATGTTCACATAACGACAGTTACCACTGGAGGTAGGACTACTCAATGTTCACATAACGACAGTTACCACAGGAGGTAGGACTACTCAATGTTCACATAACGAGTCACCACCGGAGGTAAGACTACTCAATGTTCACATAACGACATAACGACAAGTCACATACCAGTTACAGGAGGTAGGACTACTCAATGTTCACATAACGACAGTTACCACAGGAGGTAGGACTACTCAATGTTCACATAACGACAGTCACCACAGGAGGTAGGACTACTCAATGTTCACATAACGACAGTCACCACTGGAGGTAGGACTACTCAATGTTCACATAACGACAGTCACCACAGGAGGTAGGACTACTCAATGTTCACATAACGACAGTCACCACAGGAGGTAGGACTACTCAATGTTCACATAACGACAGTCACCACAGGAGGTAGGACTACTCAATGTTCACATAACGACAGTCACCACAGGAGGTAGGACTACTCAATGTTCACATAACGACAGTTACCACAGGAGGTAGGGCTACTCAATGTTCACATAACGACAGTCACCACAGGAGGTAGGACTACTCAATGTTCACATAACGACAGTTTCCACTTGAGTCGCATGTACCAGGTAGTCTTTGATGTTATATTTGATGATTTCTTTCTTTAAATCTATGTGTAGAAATGTGTTACAACTATGGTAAACACTGCTGTTGGGCTTTAACTCCCACAAGTTTCTCCAAAACCTGCATGTAACATATAAATTCATACCAATAGTTGCACAGTTCAGAATGTACTTGACATTGTACTGAAATTATCTGATATATGAATATTGCGCAATTTTTAATTATAGGGCTAATGAACCTCCCCATCTAGATTTTGACATTTCTTTCTTTGGATTTTCCTCAGTCGCTTCCGAGACTTCAAAATTTAAGCCCAGAGTCCTCAAAGGAAGAAGCAGCTGTAAGATGGAGTTTAATTCAGTTTTTGACTCTTTTGTATCAAACTCTACATTTGTATTAAAAGGTGATTTTCACTTGTGTATCTTTTATACAATCTCAGGAGTGAACGGACAACAAAACACCAGGCTGTTTACATTGTTTTTATTTCATCATAGATGCAGTATTCCATACTGCCAGCACAGCTAAATGAGACATTGGCATTGTATAAAATACGAGAAAAGTTGTCTACTTCAAATAGAAATAGAATCGGTCTCTAAATTTGTATCTAGGTCTTAACTTTTAAGAGATGAATTAAAGTAAACATCATTCTATGTCATTTGAAATATTTTACTTTGTTTAAATTTGTAACCGTTAACTAACTGGGTGTTCTACTGACAGAAAATATCTAATCCCAAATACATGACCTTCACAAATGATTGTGGAGATGTTGATAATACATGTAAACAATATCCATAACCTTTGACCTTTGCATAGTAAAAAATCTCATAAATAAAGTTACAGAATTATGAAATGAATTTGATTGACCTCAAAACCTTTAACACAGATTCTAAACTAGCACTAATAGTACTGCTTTCAACTTAAGGCACCAAAAACGAATAAGTGGTTTCTAAAGGCTACAAAGGATGGAATTATCATATCACAAGTCTTAATATTCAGGCATTGATTGTGTGCAGGATGGGGGTGGGGGTTGGGGTGTTGGGGGAGGGGGGGGTCATTCTTATCTCTATAATTAGCTACAATACTTTATTCTTATTCTATGACTCTGGTAAACTTCAAAGTAGGTGCATTATAAGTTCATGCTTAGATGTCTGGATGAGCAAAGTCTGTGATTTGTTTGAAACCTACATTTTGTCCAAATTACCAGGGCTTTTCCATTTGTTTCCAGATAATCAAATAATCAAGACTTCCTTGTAACAATAGGAAACTGGTTTAATTAAGGAACATACTTGAGTCAAACGAATCTTATTTTTAACGTCAACATAGTTTTTAGTATCTGGGTTACTACAAATATTTTAGGAAATAAGATCAGCTAAATTTTCTTTCAAGTTAAATTTGCTGTTTATTACAAATCTAAGTAGTTAAAAGATTTTCTGTAATTGATCAATGTGGCCCAAAGCAAAGTCCCCACTCCCATGCATCAATATATCATTGTTAGATGAATTTGCAGAAATTGTGAAAGGTGAAATTTTACCCCTTAACTTTGATTGATGACCTTCTAGATAAAGAGTGAAGAACATGTTACTATGGAACAAGTATGAACCAAAATGTGTTACGAGATTCTCAATATATGGGAATGAATCTCAACCGGGATACAACAGGACAGTCAGGCATGGATAACACTACATCACTCCACCCCATATAATAGTCGGGGTTAACAACAGACCAGAATTGAAAGATTTTGTTGCAATGATTTTACAAGTGAACTGAATTTGTTACAAGTAGACAGTTGTAATACAAAGTATTTTTTTTAATTAAAACTTGATTTTAGAATCAATTAAAATAAAAAGGGGGAATACATCTTTGAAATGAATTAAGATAATTATTAATGTTTAATTGATCAATCAAACAAAAGAGATAATTTCTAAAGGTAGAGTGTTGTACATACAAAGAACACATTGTTTGGTAATAAACAAATCAAAAAAGATAATGAGAAAAATATGAAACCATAAATCTTATGTTTCTTGGTATACTTTAATAGGAAAATATGTATGTTTTGATTAATTTAATATAAAATTGAACATGAAAAGTTCATTAAAAAAATAATGGGAGATATTTGGACGGTTTCATTAAAATGTAAACATTAACTTTATAGAATGAAGATATATTGGGACGGATGTATAAACATAGCATTCTCTATGGACAGATTGGGACCGATTTATAAACATAACATTCACTATGGACAGATTGGGACCGATTTATAAACATAACATTCACTATGGACAGATTGGGACCGATTTATAAACATAACATTCACTATGGACAGATTGGGACCGATTTATAAACATAACATTCACTATGGACAGATTGGGACCGATTTATAAACATAACATTCACTATGGACAGATTGGGACCGATTTATAAACATAACATTCACTATGGACAGATTGGGACCGATTTATAAACATAACATTCACTATGGACAGATTGGGACCGATTTATAAACATAACATTCACTATGGACAGATTGGGACCGATTTATAAACATAACATTCAAAACAGACAGATTGGGATCGATTTATAAACATAACATTCACTATGGACAGATTGGGACCGATTTATAAACATAACATTCTCTACAGACAGATTGGTACAAATTTATAAACACCAACTTTTACAATGGACAGATTGGTATAGGATTTCAAAAAACCAACAATATCTCTACAGATATATTGAGATAAATGATATTTCACCCCCCAATGAACTGATAACAAAGACATATCAATAATGAATGAATATTCCAAGCATTGAATAATGAAATCCTCTCAATATTTCTAAATTTCATAACCGACATGTAAAATGAAAAAAAATGTCACAAAAAACAGCCATCATACTTAAGTTTTTGTAAAAGATTAACTTCCATTATTTAGTGTTTGGTATAAATTAAACATCAAATTGCAGTAAGATACATCATATCATATATTAAATAGACATCCACAAAGCCAGCTCTGTTTTTCGGAAGGTTGATAGTTTCAGAATAAACAATTCCAGAAAAAAAAAAATAAAGGTAGTAGGGAGTTACTTTACCAATAGTTTTGTGACGGGAATAAAACTGTAAAAAACAGATGCCTTGAAAATACTGCAAAATCTTAACCTTTGAAACACATTGTCTTGGTTGAGGGAGGTTTTTATAAATAAGCATTGAAAGTCAAAAAGTTGTTGGGACACAGATTTGATAAATAGAATCTATCTGTTCTGTGAATATCTTAACTTGACTGTAAGAGTTTGGCTGGTCAGTAGGGAGATTATCTGGTGTTGGGTAGTCACACCCTTACACAAAGGTTAAGATATCTCTGTCCACGGAACAAAACCATTCTTAATTATCTTATTCATATATCAAAAACGGAAAAAAAAACCCAACATACCGAAAGTCGTTGTGAAACCCATTTATCGCGCCATCATCAATGTCCAATGGAATGTGCGTCAAAAATATTGACATTATCAATATGTGACATGGTTATGCGTAATGAAGTAATGACGCTATCCCATTGTAAGTAGCATCATGACCTGTGCCAGCTGTCACATCCCTAGCAAGAACAGGATAATCCAGTGAGGTATGTGAAGAATAACATTCAAAGTAAACTAACATAAATCTGCCGAGGAGTCATGGAATATAAATCTGCGATTTTTGTAAATGAGATGATATGAACTGTTCCTACCTCATAATAACAGAAAGTAAAAACACAATGTATAACACTAGTCATTCAGGAGCCAAGAAATCTCTTCATCATAAAGTCCTTACTTAATACAATTACATTCAAAATAACAAATATTTCATGTGAATGTAACAAAAATATCACAGATTGTTGTGTTAATATTAAATCATAATTTAAAATTACATTTGACAAGCAGTTATTTTTCATATATATTGATATATCGTTTCAATCTACTTCCTTGGAAAATTGTTTAAGGAAATTACTAAAACATGAATCAAATGCTGTTTTTCAAAAGTTACAACAGAATACAACCTTGATATTGTTAAACCGTTCCTTTTGTTAAGAGAAGTTTCAGATCTTTAGAAAATTATTGTAACACCACAACGGTATGTTCAACATGGTTAGTAACAGGTTTTCCGTTTTTCGTAACGCTTGCTATTGCTAGGAATTGTCTCAGCGACAAACATCAGTACTCTTGTGTACAACTGTAATATATAAAGAATCATTAGTATGGTAGTAATCTACTACGTTTGTAGTAGATTTTTTACAGTCGAACTTGTGTCTACACTAGAACTTCTCCGTGATAACACTTTACTGCCGTAGGGTACGTCTGAGTCTTTTATCTCTGTAGCTCTCTTGTACAACTTAGCCGCAGTCTCAAAGTCCTTCTGTAAGTACACATCAGAAAACTGAATAAGATATCTGATAGTATAATTTACTAACATCACTCATGTACAATTCTTTTTACAGTAAATTTAAGTAAAAGATAGTCTGATTGGACATACAAGTTTATCTCATAAACCAATCATTTGTATTCTTACATTTACACATACAGTTAAATACAAACATCGAAATATCTTGTACCATATTTAAATTTTTTTTTTACAAAAGTCAATATTTGATTATTCAATCCAGTGATATATTTCTTTCTCAAGTACACAATTATTAAAATATCATTTATAAATAAGTACATCACTATTTTGAAATGTAAATCCTTACTATTTTTACAGAAGTTTTGCACAGTTTAACTTCCGATCATTACTCCTGAATGAAGGATATTTTCTTAACTTTACATACATTGAATGCATCAAAATTTGGACAGTTGATAAGTAGGAATACTAATTAAACATGCCTGTTCATATTTCATGACTGCGAGGTTGCGTAACGTCTCAGCAACGCGGGGATTATGAGCACCAAGACTTTCCTCATATATCTTCAAAGCTCTTTCGTACATAGGCTCGGCTTCAGCATACTTGTTCTGAAAAAACATTTTCTTTTTCTATCAGTAAATTAACAAATCACCAGAACAAAAAACCAATCCAAGCAACAGAAAATATATTATTCATAGTGTACGTCATTTCAACAGCCAAGCTTTGAGAATAATAGAATATATAAAAACAAGAGGCCCAATGGGTCTGAATTTACTATTGTTCACTTGTCCAGCAGTTTATGAAGAGAAGACTTAGGGACGCTTTGGCATGAACCAGTTGAAACAGTACAGGTGGTTTGGATTCCATGATACAGGAACATACATGTACCAGATGTTGAAACTGATATATGTAAAGCTCAAAATGCAAAGTTTCGGAATTTCCTGTCAAGCATTAAACGACGAACTAAAAATGAAATACAGTCCATTTTAACTTATACTTAATAGCATAATGCTTCCAGAAATATGTTTCTGTGCTGTCCCTGTCTTATGCTGAAATCCTCAAATCTAGTGATTTTCAACAAGTTAGTTTTGGACTGGTACAACTGGACCCTCAATCTGCACTTTCGTCCCTATCTGAACCTGGCATTTTTCATGTAGGTTCAACCTATGCAAATGTTTCAAACTCTTATGCTAAAGTTTGTTCATACAACCAAATTATACTATATCTTTCTAATATGCATCTCTGAGCCTCTTGGTTACATAGGATAAATTGTTTAAAGATTTCAACACATTTGAACCCTGTGACCTTGGTTGAAATTTCTTTTTTATTTTAAGAAGTAATAGATCTTCACCTCAGTATGCTACAGGCAAACTATCATGACCCTAGGCTTTAAAGTTAGAAGTTGTAGCTACCCTTACCTTATATACTTTGTCAAAATGTGTGAAAACCTACCTGTAAGGATTAATGACCCTGACTTACCTGTTGAGAATAAAGTACAGCTAGGTTGACGAGTGCTGTGGCAACAGATGGGTGATATGCACCGAACGACTTCTCGCGTATCTCTATGGCTTGTTTGTACAATGGCTCGGCCTGCTCATATTTACCCTACACCAATACAAAAACAAATGATTGATTATCAGGTTTTAATGCTATTCAAATACTGCCTTATCAAACAAGCTTTTGAATATTTGTTGATATCCCTAGTTTTTTGCAATAGATACTAGTAATTTATGTCACAATGAGGTCAAAATCTTTAAAATAATTATTAAGAAATTTCTACTATAACAGGTCTGTATTTTATTACAGCTGACCCTTCATAATCCAAACACCTTTTCCCCAGCCAAAATTGTCCCGATTACAATTTTCTGGCCTGTCAAGCTTTGTCAACTGGATAATATAGCAGAGTGATCTCCCTTGATTACATGACAATAAAGTCGTCAGTATGATGGTGTAGGTTGTATTCTGAATGTCTATATAGTATTTACTGTCAATAAAGGTATATACAAATGTCTTTCATTGTCTACATTACTTTCAATTTCATAAATAATTATCATGAAATAATTATGATTTTGATATAGATAATTTTCAAAGTTGAAAAGTTGTTTTCTTCATTTAAGTATCACAATTCAATATATTGTTTTATTGATATCAACAGCGATGTTTTGCTCAACAAGAGGCCTAGCAGCCTTGACACTCAACTGAGATACGCAATATTGAATATACAGGTTAAAGGGTAACTTTCATGAAAAAGAAATTATGACATTGAATATAGTATGCTAGTGTCAATATATGCATACCATCAAAACTGTCACCCTATACTAATAATTCATACAAAGCTATTTCCAGTGAGAAATAAACAACATTATGCTCAAATTTTTTTCTAGGAAAATTACAGTAGTCAACTTCCTTCCGAGGAAGAAATGTTGAGCCCCATTTTGTTAAGTTGCCACCAATGCTTTACAATTTCAGTTCTTACCATCACCGATGAGTCCTTAAAGAACAAAGTATCTGTCTAATTAATGCAGTTAAATTATTTAACTCTAAATTAAAGGTGCTATTCACTTGTGTGCCTTTTGTACAATCTCCGACAATTGAGCAAAATACAAAGTCAATGAAATCCCTTTCTGTATAAGCTTTGGGAAATGTTTTTCAAACGAAATGTAAATACTCCCAGACAATACTTAATTTCCAGGAATTTGTGTTTCCTTTCCTCACCTGTTTCCTGTATAGTGTTGCCAGATGCTTCACAATGGTCGCCACACTGTCATGGTTAATGCTTAAATACTGCAACACAAGAAAATAGATTTATCTATTAACAAAATTATAATTCTAAATGATGTATGGTTTTGATAAAGCCATATTATTCAGACTTTCAGATTGCTGTGTTATTGCACCAAAATAAAACAAGAAAATACCAACATGTCAACATAATTGTAATCCAACACTGAATAAAAGAAAATCCAAAACTTCACAAAATAATTACCATAAGACTGTTTTAAATTAGTATATGAAAATAGTGACATTACATATTTTTATAGGCCCTGTACTGCCTGTTTGTACAGTGAAGCATTGTCATCACACTTTTACATGTATTCTGTATACACAGCAAAACACTAAATGTATAAATTCTGACAACCAGTGTATAATGGGTATATACTTTGCTGCGGATCTGTAGCGCCCGTTCATATAATGGAGCAGCTTTATCTAACTGTTTACGGTCGTTGTAGAGAGCAGCCAAGTTGTTGAGACTCTGTGCTACATCTAAATGGTCTGGACCCAATGTCACCTCCCGCATCTCTAAGGAACGCTTGAAGAATGACTCAGCAGTTCTGAAGATAAAAATCAGAGGTTGTTTCTACATTTCTATACATGGATTCACAATTTGCTAATTTTGTTGTACAGTTTATACAAAAATTAAACAAGTAAGTGGATACCAATTCTATACATCTGATTCGTACCATACTTCAAAAGCAACTTTTCCGCTTATAGCTTAAATCAAAATAATTCACTATTTATCTCAACATCCAACCACTTCAACTCACCACTAATTCTAAGTATACTTTTACCTAAAGGAAGACTGAGTTTCCAAACACATCAGACTTTAATACTTTAATTGATGGAAAATAAGACTAGTGTATCTTATAAATAAGTTCTAGAGTTTACAAATATGAATATGTTAACAGAAGGATGAAATTATACCTTAAGTTACAACTGAATTCAGACCTTGATTTATGGTTTAAACTAGAGATGTCAGTTCGATAGAAATTCTTATTCGAATATTTGTCTGTTTCAGGATTTGAATAATCGTTTTCATATTAATTCCATACAGTATGTTACACAACTTTCAGAAGGCAGTCATTACACATTACTGTACTGGTAATATTTAAACAAAACAGACTGAAATGGTGCCTACAGTGGTGTAATGTCTCAATTTCTTTATTATGATGAAAGAAACATAACTAAGTTTAACTGAAAAGGGCAGTAGAATAAATGAAATAAATTTCTAGGTCTATTTATCTGGTTTAAGGACTTGGTTTTGATTATACGAAATTAAACGAAATGAAGTCATGGGAAAGACACACATATATCCTCTCATACATCATAACTAAGAAAACATTGTTATTTTGTTTGAACTTTAAACAGTCAAGTTAGATCAAGAAATATATTCAACAGCACTTACCTGATGGTCTTATTTAATTAGGTATTTAGAAAACATAGTATTTGATTTATGGAAACATAGACCATCACGTGAAAACACACATTTCTAGAATAAATACTTCTATCGCAATAAAGGAAGTCAACGATCAGCACCGGATATAATTTCTCTAATGACTTGCTATTAAGTATAAGTGTTATACACTCACTCGAGGTTATTTTGTAGGTAGTACAATACTCCCAGTTCATTTAAGGTACGTGCCAGGTCTGGGGAGTCGGGACCTATTGCTAACTCCTCCAACTGAAGAGCTCGCCTCTGTACTACTGACTTCATCTGTCCCTGCAAAGATATAATTTACAAAAACTGATGCTGGTAGAATGTCAATTAACAATAAACACGATAATGATGTGAAATATACAACATTATGACCTCTTCTTATCGAAACAACTCTCTTAATCCTAAATATAAATCTTTTCCTAAAGAAAAAAATATCTCTGGAAAGACACTATTTGTTCTCGTTAGTCAAAACAAAATCCTTTTAACTGATGTAGTACACTACTTACGGAATGTGAGCGAGGAGTTTTAGCTTTCTTCCTGATTGACATAGCTCTTTTCTTCAGCGGCTCTGCTAAATCATGCCTAGGAGTAAATTTTCAAAAATTAAATAGACATCTAAATAATATAAATCTAGTATTTTCAAATGACATTTAAAAATATTTCAAACAATTCAAATTAAGTAATGATTCCTTTATTTCTATGAATTCCTTTGTAGTAATGTCTAAATATATCATATACATGACGTATAAGGATTGTAAACTATATAAGCCTTTGGGTTCTTCAGAACTTGATCAAGCAGTAGCAAGCCACAGCAGCTAGCAAGCTTCTTGTCCATTTTTCTCCATTATCTTAAGATAAGATATCACCAAACCTCAGCATAGAACTTACAGCAATAATGATATCCGATAGTATAAACTGATACAGAATTTTCCCTAGTACAAATGTATATTGGCCATCCTAGAATCAGAGAGATCTTACTTGTCTTGTTTCTGGTACAACACAGCCAGAGCATCCAGTTCTTTAGCTACCAGGTGATGATCACCACCATAGGCGTTCTCGTACATGGTCAGGGCCTGTTTGTAAAAGTCCTCGGCAGTGGAGAACTTCCCCCACTGGGCATGCAGCCCTGCCAACTGGTGCTGAGATCGTGCAACGATTGGGTGGTCGGGATCTAGGGCAATCTCACGCACCTCTAATGCCCTCTGGAGGGCAGGTACTGCCTAGAAGTCAGCAAATGTATAAATTAATTTATTAATTATCATTGCCATTTCATTTTCAAATTTTTCAAATTCATTTGTTGTTTAAAATTATACGAAATACTCCTTTAAGTTTCAAGTTTTCATAAATTATGTACTTAAGGACAATTGAACTGAATTGACCTTGTGTAAATACAAACGTACATACAAACCTCGCTGAAGTAAATTTTCAGAGGCATGAAAGGAACAACGACAAATTTAACCCTAAATTTTTGGTGTGAAAGATTTGTTTAGAATTGTCTTTTCTAACTGATACATGTATGTAGCATGTTAACAATAATTAGAAGAAAATTCTGACTTTACCTGACTAAGGAGGCCGAGATCTTTAAGAAATCTTCCTTGGGATTCGTACATGTCCGCTATCCTGGGTAAAGTTACCAGACCATTGTGTTGACCTACAGCTGTAAAGAATCATATGTCATTCATTTGGTAATGGCTGTCACCAATACATACCAGTCCATCATCAACACATATAGTAAATAATGCTTCTTCAGGTAATCTTTTACTAGAGAATGAGAAATCATGCTATAGCTCTATAATAAGTTTTTTCTGAGGTAATCAGTTGCTTATATGATGCCAGACTATCACTTTCTTGAATAATTGCACTTTCAAGGTATCTATTTTTCTCAATTTTATTCCTTGAAAATAACATATGTAACAGAAGCAATTTTATGAGGACTACTACAATTAACAGCCTTAATTAATGAATTTTTTCATAGAATATTTCAAGTAAGTTTTCAATATATCTAATTTTTCAATATCTATAAATTTTTAATTCAGAATACCTCACACTTGAAACATAACTTGGAAGTATTGACAAAGTAAATGAATTTATTAATAAATACTAACAAAGCAGCATCATATAAGCAACTGATTACCTCAGAAACTTATTACAGAACTGATTTTAATTCCTACATTTACACAAAATGAATTAAAGATTCAAACATCAGTTTGCTTAAACATCAATGTTCACTGTAACTAATAACCAAATGGCCATTAGTAAATTCCTTGTAGTAATACAACATAACCTATACAAGTAGTATTTCTTCAGTCATTGATAATTATAGAAGGTAAATGAATGTTAAATTAGACACCACTGAAATTTTAACAGAGCTGCCCTTTCACTTACTAGCCTCCATTCTGCGCGTGGCCTGGAAATATGCTTGAGCCATACTGTTCTTGTCTGCAGCAATATACTGCCAGTAACTAATTAACTCAGCACACCGCCCTCTGTAATAAATAATAGTTACAGACAAATTCTCAAGTGAAACCTGTCAATGTATGCCATCCAACTGAGATGAATTTAAATTTCTTATTAAGGGCTACTTCAAAGGCCAGAAATTAAGAAATTCTTGATAACAAGAGAAAATGCTGAAAGTCATGGTATTTACACTGCAATAAGACAAAAGATCCATTACAATATTATTATTACAGAGAACCCCTTAATGTCACATCTGTTAATGTCACTTTCCAGTTAATATCACATTTTTTTTAAACAGAGTTTTTCCTTACATATTCTATGTAATCCTGATACTGATAATGTCACTTATTTTCATGTGGACAACACTTAATATCACTTCATTTTGCCGACTATCACATAAAAAACAGGTTAATCACAGATAAGTGAGGACAGGATCAATGGATTCATGTCTGTATTATTACATTCTTAACAGTTAACACATAAAAGGTCATTACGGCCATCAACCATTGAGGTCCATTACATAACCTCTGATTCAATGTACAAATGTGGGCTATATCCCCATTACAGAATAATGGTCTATCATATGTTGACATCTCTAGTCAAAATGCTGTGATAGATGATTGGGTTTGTTACTATATACATGATCAATGCAAAATAAAGACACTACCCTATATGTGGTACTACTTGTGTTAAATCACTTTTCATAGAAGCCACCATTTGTTAAAAGAAAAGTTCTGCTATCATGCATTTTCATTTTTGACTGAAATAGTCGTAAGCCTTTTCTCTAGAAGTACATTTTTTTGGAAAGTGATTGTAATGGACTTCTGGATGAGTTCTTCTAAAGCACATCCCTCATAAGATATTAATGTTTCCTTTGCTACATAGAGACAGAGATAAAACAATAAAATTTATATACCTGGTAAAGATAATATAATGAATTGGCTGGCTTGATGACAAAGGAATAGATAATTACATGTACCAGTAGGTTACTTAATACTCTACTTACTTAAGATAAATCTACTGGAATAGACAGGTAAAGTATTCCCTAACTGGCCTTAAATCGTTGGGACAGATACAGGTAAAGCATATCTTGCTTACCTGGTATAAAATTGTTGGAATAGACACGGGTAGTATACCTCACTTACCTGGCATAAAATCGTTGGAACAGACACAAATTCAATATACACTTTTCTAAACTGTCTTTGTCACCCTTCTGTCTAATTAGCCAGGGAAGTTCATCAGACACCCGACATGTCAACTTTCCTGGACTGAAACACATAAGACACATGGGAATTTATTTACATGTATGATAAATTAAGTGGTTTGAAACACACCAGACACATAATGAATCAAATGGGTTGAAACATATCACTGATATGCATCGAGTGGGTTGAAACACAACTGTATATTTATGGTGAAGTAAGTAGGTACCTGGTCATTATTGATATTGTAAAACACAAATTTGTTTAAAAAGAAAGAAATCACACTGATAACTGAATTTATCCTGCAGAAGGAAAGCAGAGACAATATGCTCCCATGAAAATTTTTCAAACATAAAAAGAAGAAAACATGCAACTTTTGCTTTCTTGACTTTTTGCGATATTGAACGTATTGCTTAATTCGTGAAAATTATATAAATGCAAAAAATTTCTGATATATGGTATTGTAGCAGAAGTGATACATGTACTGACATGTTACAGGTGAGTTGTTCGCGAGACAATTTAAAAGCAAAAATTTATCATCAAAATCAGACAATGATTGACATGACTGGAGGGCAGTTTAATCAGATAACGTACCTTTGGAATTGTGTGAAGTATTGCACTAGGTCTTGTCGTAGTTGAGGGACTAGCTTCACTTCCTCCTTACCAAAACAATATTCCTGTACAGCTTTCTCTACCTAGCAGTGAAATTCAGAAAATAATGAAAATCATTATATATTGAAAAAAACACAAGTGAAAAAAACTTGGAAGTTGCCCCCAATAAAATGTTCAATTACTTTTATTGTTTGACTTATTTCTATAAACAGTAACAGCAATTTTTAACTTGAACACTGAAACATAAACATAGATTTAGAGATATTTCATGTATGAACTTTACATATGTGTTGATCAGTATACCTAAAGAGTGCCAACACCAACAAAGTTGATGATTTTCTATATAAACATGTAGTTATATTGTGACCTTAACCCTTGACTCCAAAGAAATGCAGTGAGTAGAGCACTGAAACAATTTAAGATTTATTATCATGCAACATTCTGTAAATTATGTGTATTTGATCATAAAGGTACATGCATGAACAATTTAGCTGTATTAGGTACAGGCATATATTAGATAGATGTCAGATGACTGAACAAGTAAATTACCTGTTCATGAGCAAAGGACAATAAGCCACCCTGGTACTTAAGAACTAGTAAATCCACCAGAACTTCTGTAAACAATGCTAAGAAATTCCATGTTAAAGCTTGGATGAGATCCAGGAGTTCCATCTCTGTCAATCCACTTCGACTCACATATATATATCGCAGGATCTGTCAACAAAGCCATGTTTGTCATTAACCTTGTGTATACTACAGTAGCCCAGTTACATGTAATTTCCCTCAGTTACCTGTAATTTCCCACAGCTGCCGGCTATTTCCCTCAGATACCTGTTATTTCCCACAGTTGCCTGTTATTTCCCTCAGATACATGTAATTTCCCACAGCTGCCTGCTATTTCCCTCAGATACATGTAATTTCCCACAGCTACCTGTAATTTCCCACAACTGCCTGCTATTCCCCTCAGATACCTGAAATATCTCACAGCTGCCTGCTATTCCCCTCAGATACCTGAAATTCCCACAACTGCCTGCTATTTCCCTCAGATACATGTAATTTCCCACAACTACCTGTTATTCCCCTCAGATACCTGAAATTTCCCACAACTGCCTGCTATTCCCCTCGGATACCTGAAATTTCCCACAACTGCCTGCCATTTCCCTCAGATACATGTTATTTCCCACAACTACCTGAAATTTCCCACAACTGCCTGCTATTTCCCTCAGATACATGTAATTTCCCACAACTACCTGTAATTTCCCACAAGCTATCAGATACCTGCAATATTCACAGCTCCTATTTCAGATACCTGCTATTTCCCACAACTACCTGCTATTTCCCTCATATACCTGTAATATCTCGCAGCTACCTGCTATTTCCTTCAGCTACTTGCTACATCCTTCAGCTACCTGAGGCTACCTATGCATTAACACTAAAAGCAATGCTCACCGTCTTCAGGAAACCACGTGTGTCATGTGACTCGAGTGATAATCTCACAAGGTCAAGGACCTTGCTGTACAGACTCACACAGTCAGGACACGTCAACATCACATCCAGGTGGCGACCCACTTTACCCTCATGTTTAGCATAACTGAAAAGAAGAAATATTTTAGTACAAGATGGTGGAGGAACATACAGACCTATATATATGGTGAGCTAAGAACAAGATGGACTAAATTATATAAAGGAAGGGAACCTTGTACCATAATATAAATGAGATATAAGTGACAATAAAAAGACACAGAACTTTGTGGCAGGCAGTGGCCATGATTCATGAAAAGGAAAATAACTAAGGGCACTTTCACAAAAGCAGCTGAAATAGTTGGACAGGTTGAACCTGCAAGAAAAAAGCTTAGTACAGATTGGGACTCAGACTGGACTGCAGAATATTTAGCATGTGTATTTTGAGTGGTCCAGCTGTACCTGTCCGAAACTAATTTGCTGAATATCATAAGTTTTCAGAATTTCATCAAAAAAGTAGGGTACATGCACTCATATTTCTGGGAGCATTGTGGTATAAAGTATGAGTGAAATGGATGGTATCTTAACTTTAGTTAATTGATTTATGCTTGACAGGACATTCCGAAACTTTTCTTACTTGATAGATATCAGGACCAACATCCGGTACAAGTGCATTTGCATAGAGTGGAATAATTCCAGACCACCTGAACCATTTTAACATGGTTTCACAAATGCAGCCTAATTCAGTAAGACAAATGAAGCTAACACATTAATGTTTAACTTGCTAGCACCAATATTATGAAAAATAAATACAAATTATCTGTACCTTGTTCTGGTAATTAGTGGGTTCCCCATGAGTATGGCAAGGAGAACCAACAGAATGTGTATGGTGAACCCTTAATACATGACTGCTGCCAAATTTCAACCAAGCATTGTCCTTACTGAACACAAGATTGGTGAGGACAGTGAGTAATGCCATTCACAACACAATGACTTACCTGGCTATATGACGAGCTAGTACCATGACATAGAGAGGACAACATGTGGCTGCTGTACGACAGTGAGTAAGGATCAGTGTCTCCTCATCTTGGCTTATCTGTGTATCCTGTATAGCAAGCTCTGCATGGATTAGCTCCTTCACATTCTTGTTACTCAGTGGCTCCACCTGTAGGGTTGGCCAAGATCTAAGGGGAGACAAAGAATTGAAAAATAAGTTTTGTGAGAAATCCCATATCTCAGGACAAATTTCAAGTATAAATGAAAATGAATGAAAGACTAAAACTCTGTACGATTGATCTATACCGAGAATCTCAATTACATTTTTGCCAGAGAAATATCACTTACTGTTATCTACCAAAGGGTTATAACTCTGTAAATACATAGCCAATAGACTCAATGTAATTAAGTTCCATAAAGCTTATCAATCCATGAGATTTTTGCATTAGATAAAGTAAAAGGCATGTGATATTGTTGGAGATAGGCCCAGGTCAATGTAATACACTGACTGACAGACAGATTAGCTAGTCTATACTCCTATACAGTAACAATGATGGACGGGAATCTAGAACGAAAACAGGAAATATCTTTTAAACATTTAATCATAATTGTTATCCAATTTGTTCTATTATTAACAAAAATTAAAAATATCAATATCTGTAATATATGTTACAAGATAAATTTTGACGGAATCAAACTAGATATAAGTTATTTATAACTGAGACAACAATTATATAGACAGCTTCCTGGTTCTTTACCTCCATGCCTGAGGACAAGTCTCATCCGTGACAGACACAATCACTCTTGTATCTACAGGTAAGGGATCTAGTAACCACTTTAGATGTACCTCAGCTTGCTATAGAGAGACAAAGCACAACAGCAATGTTCATCTGGCAATAAAGATAAGTTCACATCTAAATATTAATTCACAGCTGTAATGTTTTTAAACAGTTTCATGTAGTTAATTTGCCTGAGGCTAAATCCAGTTAAGTAGCCAATCAAACAGATGGTTAACACTTTCATTTATTTAGAAATAACAGAACATATTTGACCTTTGACCTATGTAGGTACAAGAACCTTGACCCTTGGCCTATGCTGACCCTAAATCCAGGCACTAGATTGATGCTGTATTGTGACTGGTGAATCAACTTCTGAAGAGCATAGATAACCCAGATATGTCACTTTCTTTATAAACACTGTTAGAAACATGACCATAAAAATCATATTTTGTTTGAAGATAAAGGAAACCACATAGTCACTGGTTGTATTTCCTCATACATGTAAATCATGCTGGCAATGAATTCTACCTGAAATCTGTCAATGGAGTCCATAACCAGTATCACTCCGCCCACTGTTTTGGCTGAAACCTTCTCCAACCAACGTGGAAACTCCTCCACAAGACGCCCAGGGTCACAGGTCAAGGCTGGTGGTGAATTTACTTGTTGCATCAACTGTCAAAAGACACAGACATTCAACTTGTTTGAATGAAATATATCCCACACCTGGACTTCTGATGCTACTATGTGTAATTTGCAACATGTGGAACACTTCTAATACTACTATGTGTAATTTGTAATATTTTTGAACACTTCTAATGCTTCTAAGTGTAATTTGTAATATTTCAGAATAATTTCTTCAGATTGATATTATTAGATATTCCCACCTATATTATGACTATTTAAACTAGAAAATGTCTGTAAGACATGAATGCATGAAGTCTTTCCATACTTGATACTTGTATGAAGTTTCATGAAAATTGCCTTCCGAATGAAGTTGTTAGGTGGTATATACTGATTTGGGACGCGACGGGACGGGACGGACAGACATGGGCAACGCTATATGCCCCCGGCCATAAATGGCGGGGGCATAAAAATATATACTCAGCTAACTGAGAGTCAATTATTGTCTTTCAGAGGCTCTATTATTTTTCCTTTTAAACTTTATTAATTTTACAACAATAGCGAAACAAGTTTTTCCAACTTATATAAATCACTCTTGTTGGCGTGGATAGAAGTGCACAAGGGGTTTTACTGTAGGACAAAACCGAGTATGTTGGGAAAACCAAGATGGTCTGGTAGGTGACCCTAATTACCTTTTCACATCCGTTCTAAGAGTTAATCCCATGATATGTAGGTAAGAGGCGTATGTATTACAACTATGACATCCAATCATCCTATATTCATTCCTTATGATAAATATCACAATATATCATACCTGGTTAATTTTTAACATCTTTAACTATAACTAATTATCTGACATAAATTAACATGAATGAAGTTATATCTAACTTACATCATCATTTAATCTTCAAATCTAATGCCAATGACTGTGATATCACTTACTTGTGCAGTCAGTCTTCGTATCATATTGACCGCATCAGCACTGACCGATGAGTTACTACCTACGAAGTGATACAGAACGAGACTGCTTGGCACTTTCTCCTGCTGTAACTGTATCCTGTCAGAAAAAAACATTATATGATCAATTACACAATGGCTACCTTCAGAATAAACAAAATTTAATGTAGAACAAATTTTTTCTTGTCAGTGTCTAATTTTTGTTATTTTCTTTTCTGCAAGGTGAATATTGTTAATATCAAACAGCTAAATATTTGTACAGGTTGTTACAATTGTTTTTATCCTGTTGTTTCCATTTTTCATGGTTACTAAAAGTTTAAACCAGTAAGTTTTACAGAAAGTTATGGAGAGTTTCAGTTCTCCTTAAAATATGTCATTTTCAAGGTACTTTTTTGGATATCATTCAGTCTTCAAAAATTGTGAAAAACAGAACATCCTGATAATATTTCAGATTTCCAACTGGAAACAAGATTCATGCAGCAAAGAGGACAGTTTTTTAGTTTCAAGGATGACCAAGAAAAGCTTGCAGTCAAAAAGTCGTACCACTTGGCGAGGAGCAGTGAACGTCCTGTTCCAGCTGATCCAGTCATCAACAATGGAGGTAGGGGCCCGGCAGAGAGGACATGACCATTCAGTCTCTCATAGTGCTACAAAAACACAACTCAAATCATCTAACTTCATCATAGTTAAATGAAATATAAAGATAGGTCATTCAAAAATTGACAACGCAATCTAAGTGAGTGACTAGTGCTTTTTAAGAAGTAAAATTACAATTCAGTGTATTTTAGGGAAATACTTCTTGAGAGTATAGCAATAGATAAGTAGCTAAGCTAATACAAATTTCAATGATGCCTTGAATAAGTGTTAAATCCTAATATTACTGATTTTGACCCATAACTACCGTTTGATACTATTATTCTAAATTAACTGTTGGTCTGTAGTGGGAGTCTGACTACAAACTTACTTTTTCAAAGCCGAGCTCACAACTTGAGCGTTTGGCAAAATTGATGGCTTCCATTTGCTCCAGGTCACCATGGATATCGAATATAGACCCCCCACAGAGTTGTTCCGGACCCTCCCCCTCCACAAGTCCGCTGTCCTCATCCTCCTGTTTCTCCAGCTTATTACCTACACCTAGTTCCTAAAATAATCAAAAGAAACATTAGTATTTTTTCACCTGACATCCTTTTCTATAAATGGACACAGTATACAGGAAAGCATTCACTCTGGGATTTTTTTGCTATCACATAAAAGAGTAAGTTCCAATTTTGAAAATTAACCATGAAGATCAGTGCTAGATCTGTGGACTAAGGAATCTATTTGTCAAGTTTTGGAAAAGATTTTATAGTCTTGCAATAATTTCATGCAATACTGACCACCAAAAGTAAAATATGGCGAATGGCCTAAAAATAGATCAATATCTTCATTGACAATGTACAAATATAGAAATTTAATGTGCATCATAATTTCAGCATTCAAACTTTTCATGAAACAAACTCTTATTACCAAACTGACAGAAAAAATGTTTTCTTTCCATGAGTAGAAATCTTGTGATTTTTACAATCTTTGAAAGGATTCAAACGTTCTTTCAGGACACAGCTCCATTTAAAGATTATGCTGATACTTACTCCCTTCAGAATTTTTTCCAGTTCAGCACTAGCCTGTTCTACTCCCCTACTGGGTACAGTGTATCCGTCTACGACCTTGGCACATCCCATTTCCCTGACTTTGACCTTCAGGTCCTTGGCCTCACCTTGACTTGACCTACTTCTGTGTTTAACGAAATTCACAGAGAAAACAATATATAAATTGTTTTTTTCTTATTTTATTTTTTTTTTAATATTTATTGACCGCTTAAAGACATCAATTTCCTATGTTAAGGATTAGATCATATGAGATTTATATAATATTATTGGAACTTATCATGTGTCTTACTGTTTTGTTAAATTACTATATAGAATTACTTTACTTACTGTAACATCATTGATTAATACATAAATATCAATAGATAGAGAACTACGCTAAGATGTCTTTAGAAACAATATATAATATCATAGAATTATATGCCTAATATTTGTCCTGCGATAAAAAGATATTAAAAATGTTCCCATTTATTGCACACAAAAAAAATGATGGAACCTGTCAAAAAATTGTAATTTTTGTTTGCAGGATCGCATAAGATTTGTAAACTTTTAGATGAAAACTGAAGTTAAATCTGGCATGAATAAATAATTTTAATTTACGCATAATAAAACAAAAATCACTTCAATGGAATCTAAATCAATGGTTATACATGCATATCAATGATACAGTACACTTATTTATATCATACCCTTTTGGTTCTCTGAAGCAGAAGACAGACGACCGCCATGTTGGATTGTCGAAGAATCCATGTTTGTATTCTGTAGCTGTAAACCTGAGAGATGAAGATCATTGATCATTATTAGTGCATCTGACAAAATCATTGATCATGGTCATATATAAGACGGAAATTGCTGATCATATTTCATGTATTAGACAAAAAACATTTCATTATTCTTAGTTCATCTGACAAAATCATTTTATCATTCTTGGTTCATCAGACAAAATCATTTTATTATCCTTTATTCATCGAACAAAATCCTTGATTATCGGACTGTATTTGTCTAAAAATTAACTTTAACAAGTCTTAGATATAAAAGCTATGAAATACAGTTTTAGCGTATAACACAATTCAAGTTCTAACAATTTTCACAACATCGCAGAACTTTCACAGCAATTTTCTACTTTGTCAAAAAATGTATTAAACAATTACAGCGTAAAAGATGAAAATTTACAAACACAACTGTTTTCAGGCAATAGCACTGAGCGTTTAAGAATTTCATTTAAAACGCCAGAAGCTGAAGAACATTTACATTTAAAATTCAGTCTGAATGAATGACAAAAGAAAATCAAAAACAGCTTGGATGTTATCTATCTAGCAACAACTCATACCTGGTAAAAAGTTGATATACATTTTCAGAAGAAATACCAACAAATACTCGATCACTGCTATGTATTAAGTCAGGAAGGATGTGTGTTGGCTCCTTGGACTTATTGCAAGAAAAGTACAATAATTATATTAATATTGAAATGAAATTTCACCAAGGAAAAGTAAAACGGCTTCATCAAGTCACAGTGGAGTAGCAATCTGAGAACATCCTTTCCTGTTGTAGCTCCATAAGTATGACATGAGGAAATTGTCCTCAGAATTAGAGAGGTAACTAAATGCGTTACCTGTCTGTGGCATCTCCTAGGAAGGCTAAAAAGATGGAAGACTTGGCAATCTGTTTCTGTCTCGTACTGATCTGGAGGTCAACCTAAAACAGTTTAATGATTAAGACACTTTGAAATGTATACTACAGCTTGTATTGGAGATAGTTGTGTCCCACGTCATATTCATGTCCAATGTCATACTCATGTCGAATGTCAAATTTGTGTCTAATATCATACTCCTGTCCAATGTCGTAACTGCGTCCAATGTCAAACTGCATTTATTTAACATTAGTTCAATAAAATTTCATGTAACACAGGCCTTTTGGAGAGTAATGTATAAAATCAGAGACAAGTTCCATGAATTTAGCATGATAATGACATGAGGCCAACAGGGATGATTGATTTAAGTTGAAAAAGCTTCTTTAACAATTGTTTTAAAATCCATAAAATTTCACTTATTATTAAATTTCTTCTAACATAATTAGAAGATGACTCTATCACATCTTGAAATTTGTGGCAGTATGTGATTGTACAGTCAGAAATTAAATTTTACTGGTAATATGTAGCAGATCTAGAGACTGTGAAATGAACACTGTCACTTATCAATCAAATATGTTGTTACACTTTAAAAATAAATTTTGGGATAATCTACCTGTGGGATATACCATACATCAAGGCATTATCTAATTTCTGTGAATTTAGTGACCCTTTCAAAATCTTAATAAAATTGAAATTTAAAAATTAGCATGTTTTTTTTCTTTTCATTGCAAACAAATGAGTAATACATCTGTAGAGTTGATGTACCTATATGCACCTGAACATTTTCTAGTCATGAATACTTCTATTGTAAACAAATACTAGTTGGTATGTAAATCTAATGATCTAGTACAACTGGTCAGTTAGATCTCCAGTTAATGACAGAACCTAGGTATACTGCTGTATGTATAGGATAAGTAAATTCAGAAATAAAGTCTTCAAACAAGGCTTTTAAAATTTCTGAGACGAGGAAATCAAAGAAAACGAAATATGAAAAATTTGCAAAGAGTACATTTGGGTAATTTTCACAAAAATTGCATAGCCTAAAAATATCATGACATACAATATCAAATGATTTAATGCTAGTTTGTTTTCCCCTTCTTGAAAACTCACAAACTGGATGGTAATGTTAAGACAATATACATTCCAGTAAAAGGTATTCTTACCTGGGTTGATGGTGGGTTGTTCTCGTCAAACACTAGATGAACTAAAGCCAGGCTTCGACCTTCAGCTTCACAGATACTAGACAGTTTTGGCATGTATTCCTGAAAAAAAAACCAAGTCAAGCTCACATTATTTCTATCATAAAGAAGTTTTAAATGTAATATCAAATGTGTTGTAATAAAACAGGACAAGACAAAAGGAATCTTTCTAAGACATCTTTCACCTGATTGAGTTTTAATATCTCTGATTACTAGTATTATAGGGAATTTTTCTTCATGTATAAATCACAATGTTCAATATCCTATTGTTGAGTATTTCCACCAATGAGTAGGAGCCCGTTGAGCTGACAAAGGACTGGGTACAAGCCTCACTAGACAGATATATGTTATATCAATCACTCACCTTGTTGAGTATTTCCACTTCAGCATGCGAGTCCCGTGGAGCAGATATATAGACTCTAAGAACGTGACTAAGGGAATGTTCTGGGATAACTGGCACCATCTGGGTCAGATTGGCCAATACTGAGCTCCAGTCCTCTTTAAACAGTAAGCAAGTATGTTAAGTTAAAAGAGAATAGGTCAAGGTCACATAAAATTGTATTTATCACACACAATATTTAATAGCCTCATTTAAGACGGTTTGATGGATAAAGTTGAGTAAATATAACAAATCACAAAATTTTATCTAGAGATACACAGAATTGTAAATTTCATATATGTAAGCTTAACCATACTGCATGAAAATTTATCTATTCATTTTGTTTTTCTTTGCAGAAAGATCAAGGTTGTGTGAGGTTGCTGTCATTGATTGTTGGGATTATCTGGTATGCAAAACTGACAGAGCAAGTAATCAATAATTTTCTATGAGCAAATAATGATAAATACAACTATTTGTGTATTATAACAATTAATTTTACAAACTATCAGAGCTGACATCACCCAAAATCAGGACAAAGTGTATAAACATCACCTAACAAGACCTGGAAATTACTAATCAGTAAAGAGATTACTAGTCAGTAAAGAGATTACTAAGTGGTAAAGACAGTGGTCTGTGTGGAACACTCTGTTCTACATCATGTTGGATATTGCAACAAAGAAGCCATATGCACATGTCTACTTGTGTAATGGCAGAAGTTAGCTTTGACACATTAGTATGCAGAGTGTGAACTGAAACTTTATTATGACTCAAGATTTATTATTTATTTAAATCTGTCTCACTTGGTTGTCTCATTGCGACCGTATGCCTATATAACACTGTTTTGAAAGATGGTAGCAATATTTGAACCATACAACTCTCGCTAGAAGTCATGGGTAAATTGTTGGAGTTTTAGAGCCAGTTAGAAAGCTAGGATTGGTAGTAACACCTACTTCTAAGGGCTGTGTCAATAGGTGAAGCTATAACTGTGTTGCATTTAGCCTAAAAGCTAGCTGATTTTATTTACATTTTATTTGGAATCCATTTTCTTACAAGTATAATCTTTTGATAAACTTATAATAAATGAAAGTTTTATCTCTTTTTAAGTCATGGCTTACTAGACAAACATTTCTTTTGACTCACACTATATAAATCTATATTCTGGGAATTTCTACCTTTTGCTACAGTTTTCACAAGTTTCTTTTATCTTGTCAGTATACAAGTCAGAGCTTGTTGGGAGACAGGGAATCTGCCTTTTATCATTTAAATATAATTTTTTTCCTACCTCTATTGACATTTGTAAAGGGTCCATCTGTGTCCATCATACTGTGGGCAAACTCTGGTCCTTTGATGGTAGGCTGATGGAGCTGTATTGTACTGCCTAAAGATGGTTCACTTTCTAAAGCTGTCCACCAGTCTCCAGGGTTACCTAGTACACACAAAATAATGATGATGTACACACAATGTGGTGACACTGTGTACATTGATGTACACAGAAATTGTGACACTGTGTACATTGAGAATGTAAAATCAAAACACATATCAGGATCATTTAAACATGAAAGATAAAAAAAATTTGCAAAATCTTATTTACAACCCTAACAAAATTGAATTCAATTGTTATTTATATATGGTAGGTCCTCCAAATGTGACCCTACAGGAAAAATATGATTAAATATCTGTCCTAAAAGTCACGGATGATTTTACTACGTAAATATATACGTATCTTGTGAAAAGAGTATCTTTTTGACTTTTTTTATATTTTAATAATCGAAGAGGTTTTCAAATAGCGATTTCCCCCGAAATATGGAGGGGCAAAGCATTAGGTCATACAGAAATATCAAACATAAAGGACAAACCTTATTTGATGTTCTTGGATTCAAAAGTATCATATCGTTCTTACAGGTTGAAAAAATGGACATTTTCAGTTTCCTAGTACACAGGTTTTCCTATGTAATTAATCTTACCCATTCCAGGTTCTATGAAGTCACTATTGGAGGCTGTATCAGCATCATCAGAGTAGCCATGAGTCAGCTTAGAAAGTTTGTTTTCTAGCTCTCTTTTGGCACGTAATAAATTCTGGATTTCATATTCTTGGTTTTCTCTGAAAATCTGAAAAATATACAAAACATTTAGTGTTACTTATATTAAAAAATAAATTGTTCACAATGATTTCATGAGATTTGGAAGAATAACAAAGGTCAAGGACGCTTACATTGGTGATATGTATTATGCATATTTCATATTCACAATCCCATACAGTGCTTTCATCTCCGAGTTTTGTAAATATCCTTACAGTAGTTCTAGAGAAGTAGCATTATCAAGATTTATTTACATATGAATGGATTAAAATGAATCTGTGCAAACAGTAATTTAAAAAGTCACATATTTTATGACTCACTTTGAATTGTCGTTGTACTTTGTCTCTGTCCTGTTCAAATGCCCCAGATCTAGCCAGAGCCTGCTGTTCTGCATCTAAAGCCCCATCCCTCTCTGTTCGTAAATTGGCACATGTTTTCTGCAGCACCAGGAGTTCAGCTCGAAGCCTTTTATTTTCTATTGTAAGCCTTTGTTCTTTTCTCTGCATATTTGCAATATCATTTTCTTTGTTCAATCTGAAGTAAGACGTATATACACTATATAACTGTAAATTTTACTATAATCAAAATACATGTCATGTTTTTCCTTCATGTACAATTGCGTTGTAACAAAGACAAATTCAAACATTGAAAAAATTCCTTATAATGTCTGACATTTTACTGTTACAAGGTGAACAACAACACTTTTTCTTCCTTTTCAACAACTCTTCATTAGGGAAGAAAATATCCATTTGCTTACATTACCAGCAGTAAGTTGTTGGCAGTTTATGGGCTCGTAATACACAACTGACTTTTGTAATGGTAAACATAAGTGTATATCAGCCATGCATTCATATGTAAGGACACCTTGAAGGCTCTTCAGCTGTACTAAATATACATGACTACAGCTTCACTGTATTTATCTTGCAATCAGCTCAGGGGCCAACACTATACAAGAGATCCCAGAGGGATCTTGGCGTCCAACATTGTTTGATCTTTATTTGCTCTTTGAAATTTGGATCTTTTCCCTTCTTTTCTTTCCTCATCTCTGTTTTTGCTCTTAAGGATAAGACATTTGAACATTCCTTTGCAGAAATAGCGATGATAATCTTTACCAGCCAAATCCAAACTGGCTGTCTGGAAGAAATTTTTCTTCTTCTGATCAGTTCCAACATCAAGTGAACACAGGGAGAGGCCAAAGGGAACATACCTATGAAATTTGGGAGATATCAATTCAGTACCACTTAAGAAATAGCAATAACAATCTTTACCAGTCAAAATCTCAGATGCCCGTCTGTTGGCCATTTTGTTTTTCTGATCAGTCCTAAAATCAAATTGGCACAACTTGGGACCAAGGGGTACCAACATCTGAAAGATGCATCAAATCCTTCTCAAGAAATAGCAATAACAAACTTTCAAAGTCAAAATACATGATGACTGCCTGTCAGCCATTTTGTTTTCTTTTATCACACCCAAAATCAAATGGACACAACAAGGAGACCAAGGTAAACCTATATGCAATTTGAGAAAGATACATACAGTACTTCTAAAGAAATAACGATAACAAAAATTGTTTACAGACAGGCGGGTGAATGGACCACAGATGCAGAGCGATTTGAATAGCCCACCATCTGATGATGGTGGGCTGAAAAAACAGTGAGATGACTAAGCATTTGATGGTAGTTCTATTGATGAAACTAGAGCAACTGTGTGCAGCCTTATTACAGAGTAATAGCTATTTCAATGTTTTGTTAAAAACATTTTATACCTGTACATCTCAAAATCTTTTCGTATCTTTTCTGCCTCTGGATTTTCCAAATCTATAGACAAAGCTGAGCGGAGACTCCCTCCCTTTGGTTTCTTGCTAGCTCCACTTCGCAGCCCAAGTTTCCCCCGAGGTTTCATCTCAATAGGAATTCTCTTGATGACTCCATGGCTGCTACCATCCAAATCTGTCCCAAGGATATCGTCATCTTCATTATTCCTCAGGAAGGAGCCTCCAGTACCCATGATGAATGGTTATTACTGTACAACAAATCTCCGTTTGTCTGGCGGTGAAGTTTATGGCATGTTTCTCAGATCAAGGGTAGTCTCAAAATACATTCTGCACAAAGATAAAAGGAAACTTCATATATTTTTTCCCACATGGCCATTACTCTACTAGTCTTTCCAATGTGTTTACAAGTTGATAATTCATGTATCAAATAAACAAACTTTTGTTATTCAAATTACCTGGTATACAATATATAATTTGCATAAATTCCTATCAAAATTTCACACAAGTGTCATAAGTAAAACTATAGTTTTATAATCATTCATCAATTCTACAATAGAGATTCAGCTCAGGTTTCAATCTTAAATCAGATAATGGGCTGCAGCTTATGCATGCTCGTTCAAGTCCTACTGAGTCAGTAGGAGGCTGCTCGTATCTTATCACACAAACATTCTCATTGTTTTCATTCACAGTCATAGTAACCAGGGATGTACAATTGAAAAGACAGTACACTGCCAATAGCTAAGAACAGATAAATTTGAGTTCACAACCCTTGTTGTGTCTGTGCACCATATTTCTTCAAAACTACATCTTATCATTCTTATCTTTTCAAAATGAATAGTACAGAAAAGCTGTTCTTTTCTTTCCTGAGCTTCATTTCTCACTGGCCAACGAAATGGCTTGGTTAAGACTGGTCAATGCTAACTAAATATAATGAGTCTAGAAGAGAATGAAACACGGGTACATTTGTATATAATTCTGAAGAGAGGGATCTTCTGTGACCTTAAAGCTCCATTAACATATACAAAAGCTACCATCAGATAAGCATTCAATGGACTTTGTTTTCACTGCCTGAACTATACATCCCTGTTGTACCAATGATGAAACAAACATACAAAATTTACATACTACTTACTGTCTAATCAAAGTGTAAACACTATCACAAAAATTAAGCCTTTATAACACAGTCTCCTAAACAGATCGACTATATTACATAACTGTTGTTTCGAATTTCAAAAGTAACCTACTAACTATTGATCATGACCATAATACAACATTTTGAGTGTAAGTTAACCAAAAATTGGAAAACTTTCTGTTCATCTGTTTGGACTCGTGAACAGAATATACTTAGTACCCCAGGAGGGGATTCTTGAAATTCAAATCATTCACATTTTAAAAGCTGCAAATCAGGAATTATGCAATTCTACCAATAATGCTGAAATGCTATTTCATACATATTTGTGTCGAATATGCCCCGAATAGTGATTCGGCCCGATACAATTCGGACTTGTTTCCAAAAAGCAAATTTTAGATTAAGAATGTTATAGACAACAAAAGCACAATCAGCTGTTTTTTGTGGTTAAAACGGATACTTACGTACGATATTTTGGTTTTAAATTGTTCTACATTTCTGGAAGACATAAGATCACGACTTTACATTCAATAAACAGACATGTTCATCATACAGTGAATGTTTGTTATTTGACGGAAGTGTATATGAATGAAGGGACGTAACTCTAACCGGAAGTCAAAATATAAACGGACTACGGATCAAATTTACGGAAGAGTAAACCGAAAACTCTGTCCCAACATGCACATATGACGTAAGACTATCCCGAATGCAAATGTATATATAGACAGGGGTTACATATATTCACATATAAACGATGGGAACATTGAAGGTTGTTAAAAAGGCGGAGGAGGGTAGGGCAACGTGTAGACTTCATTTCATTCTATTCCACCCACGTGTATCCTCGACACTCAAGGGTTAAAAAAAACTCACTTTCGCTCTCTGTAGATCTATCAAAATTGATAGTAACCCTCTGAAGTATTGAAGCTGGCCTACACGTGTCAACAAAGGATATATACACACATAAACATATACAGTAAGATATAGAGAAGCCAAAAGGACTGGTTGATGGTCATGAAATATGATTTTTTTTTTCTTTCTTTTTTTCCCAATAGACACATGCACATTCATTATACTAAAACTGACGTTTTTCGTTTTACCTTGTGCAAATTTACACATGACGTTGAATCTTCTTCTCCTTGTCTAGTAACTCCATTCCGTTGATATTGACGATTACATGGACGAGGGGCGGGAGGGTTGCACGTGCGTAGTGAGACATGCGAGGGATTAAACGAGTGCATTGATTTATTTTTGTTAAATTCGTGAAGAGGTATAAGATAAAAAGGGAAGATGTGTGCCCCGCAAGTGTTTCTGTGTGAGAGCTTCAAAGGTTACGTAGAGAATGTATGTCTTGAATCCCTCGCGTGTTGTCGTTTGTACTGCTGCTAATTGCAGACAAGGACGTATAATAAATATATATCTGTGTTATACGACCCTAATCATTTCTGACGGTGTACCCTCATGTACTACTTTCTGAGTGCATAAGGTTTTGATGAATTTATCTGGCGAATCTAGGACTGGGAAGTTTGGCCATGTGACGTGTGAGAATTAACTATTATTACTGAATATCTTGCATAGTATGAAGCGGGATGGAGTTTTTTTCTCTTGTTGAAAATCATTATCAGTATACTAGCTGCCTTATTCGTTGAGGGATTTTCATGTAACTTCATAAACATATCAAACATCAAAATACAGAATATGTATCTTTGGGAAGGTTCAGTGTGGTTGGGTCCAGGTCATTGTTGTTATTTTTAGAAAATCCTTCCTTTAGGGTTTCTCATCAAATTTCACACATTAAAAAAGTACCATATTATCGGGTTCGAGTTTCAGAAGTGTTGGACTATGGTTACTGTTGCTAATTTTCAGAAAAGATATCAATCATTACTATCAGTATACGTCCCTGTTTCTATGTAATGGCTTGTGTGGGCCAGTAGGGGGCATGTATTGCTTCAGCCGTGAATACTCAATATGCTTCTGAAGTGTATATTTCGTCCTCAATACAAGTTTCATTACATTTAAGGCACAACCATTAAGACTGGAAAACATTTTGATTATGACCAGCCTCTGTCATGAGTTTATGTGCTCAAATAAGGATGTTGCTGATGTGTCTATTTGAATGAGAATTGTATATGCAAGACTCCTAGTTAGGTTTGGATCACTAGTTACACATTTACTTGTTTGCAGTGGTACGGTAATAAAATATCGGATCTATTTCGAATTTGAATCCATGCATAAATGTCAATGTCCAAAATCACAAAAACGAACCGCCATCGATGATTATTATAAACATAATATTGTTACAATTAAATATAACATTTTTGTATACGAGTGTATCTTGTCAGTTGTTTCGAAGGACGCGCCAGTAAAACCCAAACTGAGAACCCCTGTGGTTAACTACAGCCATCTCTTTCATGGATTAATTTCTCATAGTCCGACTCTCTGTCCTATATGATTTCACACATTACTACAGTCAATATACAAAGAAATCATCTGATTTGGTCAGGGGCGTATGATTAAGACACCCATGGATTTGGTTAACACAAAGAAGCTCCAAGAATACTACTGTGGCAATACTTCTGTCCAATACCAATACATCGCACAGAACATCTCGAATCTTTGGACTCATACCTTTTATTTCTCATTAAGATAGCAGCCAATAAGTCCTTTCTTCTATGTAATCCATTTGCTTGGTTGTCGCAACACCATGTTCTTTATTTTCAAGCAACAAGTCCGTGATTTTTTTTGCAAGTCCAATATAATGATATACAATGTACTAAATGGATACTATCTAGCCAACATCATAAAATCTACTTTCAACCAAGTCTTTCAGTGACAGTTTGCTATTTTCAGTCACGAACGTATCTGTTGCGTGTTGTTTTTTGGAGTTGACAAAAATAACATTAAGTTGTCCTCTTTTGAAAATTATGTATTTTCTTTGTTATTTGTTAAAAAACAAGAATAAGAAGGCAGCAATCATCAATATTTTATTAGGATATAGCGATCGTGGTTTGTGTACATGATCAAAATGATTATCAACCGTTCACATCTGACCAGATGACCACATCATCTGGTCGGTCATCTGGTCAGTTATTTAACAAACACATTCTTAAAAATTCACAAAGCACACACAAGATTACTTGGCAATATATGTACTTGATCAAGCTATCAAACCACCCGTTGCATTATGGGTAAAGTAAATAGAAATTACATGGGCAGTATTGGTAAAGTCGTTAGACGATTTAAACATTTTAGTCTGATTGTAGCTATCACCATTGCCATGAAAGTTACACAGAGCTGGTCCATCCGAGAGTGGATCGGAACCATTCATAGCCATGTCCGGACACATCCGGGGTTTTTTCAACTGGTTGTTGGTTACCTATGTCTACGCCACCATATATCGCCGACACGTCGGACACTTCCATGGTTTCCTGCACACTTTTCTCTGAACTTGCTAGTATGGAACCTTTGACATGTTCATAAAACGGACCGTGTGCTCCTGACATCTGCATCGAAATTAATGCAGCTGGGGATTTCGATTCGTTGGGTAGCTGGCCTGGCAGCTCGATCGTAGCCCTTAGATGGCTGGTAGATGGCGCCAGGGTGCTGGAAAATACCGTAGACATGAGTCGCAGTGGCCTAGATTCCACTAATGTGTCGATTACCACCTCGTCGTTTAATTGAACGTCAGTCGAATGGGTGCCAGTCCAAACGGGCTCCACGAATAATGTTGGGTCAATCTCGTAAATAATGGGCCCTTTGCTTGGCCTGAAAAAGTAGTAACATCCCAACAAACATCTTCCCAACAGTGGAGCTGGGCACCCTTCTGTACCATCCAGACTGGCCACATCTCCAAGGTCCTGCGAATAAGAATAATTGAAGGATTTTTTATGCCTGAAAGCACGTTAATCTATGTAATCTCTTTTACTCAACTGTACGAAATGCTTAATTAATTCCACTTGATACGACACAACATTAAACTGTTTCTTTTTTATAAATGGAATCCCTTCAAAATTATGTAGTTATGCCTTATTGTGAAAACCTGCAGGAAACAGTTCTGTCAAAAATGAAATGTAGGTCTTTGCGAAGCACGATTGAAAAATACAAATACATTTATTGATGTCGTTTCATATTACGCTATGTCATTCAATGTTGGGAGTCATCAACAAGCAAATTTACAACACAAACATTTCTTTTTGGTATTTTATGTAGATTATTCAGGTATGATTGTAACATACCTTTGGATCTATAGAAGAGGGATCTACTACAATGTGGCGTCGCTGAGTCATGACTTGAATGCAATATAACCAGATCGTACAACCAAAAATCTGAAAATAGAGAAACATCATTTAATTGCAGGACTATTTCCCCCAACTGACGATACTCTAAATTCGCACGTTTTAGTGGAGTTCAAATTTCGTGGTTTTCAAGAAATAATCGTTGATGTTTTATTTTGTAGGTAAACAGTAGCTCCGTATTCCACAAGGGTTATCAACGAAATCAACCGAACTTAAAAACCTCCACAAAAACATGATTAGGCAGTAATATGCTTTCTCTCTCACCCAGATTTGGGAGATAATTTACAGTAATTTACATAAACCACTCTGAATGAGAAAAATGAATACAGCTCACCAGTTTGTCCACCGCGTTGCTTGGGGAAATCACCGTGATACAACTAATATGACGTCAGCTAATTGTGACGTCATAATATATTAACAACAATTGGAATTATGGTTATTATGATGCGCACGTCACTACTCGAACTATTCGTCAACCCATCGGGAACCCGTTTTATCAAGCATACTTTTCCATCCGGGCAAACAAGACAGATTGATATAATTGTTTCGTAATGCAAACCATGGTTAATTGCACATACTGTACGGCTCCTGAGGTGTGATAAAGAGATTATTCAAGCTTTCAATCATTTGTATTGATGGGGAATAATGGACATTTTCTTTAAATTCCCGAAAATCGACAAAAATAATAGCGAATCTCTCAACACGGAGAACAGTTTTCCAAACACCGTATGTGGGATATTTGTGGTGATGCATGTTTTGAAAATAGTTGATACAGGAAATACCAAACACAGCAAGAATTGACGCTTATTTTTCTCCCTCCAATCTTCTTCTTATCTCTAAGATAGGAGAGTTCAACATACAAAGCAAAAATATAATTTCCAGTTATCTCCCTTGATACAGTCACATCGTAGCATTCCGTCCTTCGCCTAAACTGAAAGTCGTGTTGTGGGCAGCCAGATAAGTGTTACTAAGTAATAGTGGGTGGGAGTTATCTTGAATAACAATAACTTCAGATTTGTGTTTCCCACGAGGAGTTTTCCCAATGACAACCCTAGTTTTACCAGGAACATGTATCTCCCGGTTAAAACGAATTTCAGCACTAACCCGGGCCTTTCAGTAAACTGGAATGGAATCGTACAAATTATATAACAAACAATTTGTCTGACACCCTGAACAACCAGAGCAGCAGCATTTAAATCACCATATTTGACAGATATATACAAAAAATCTGAGTTAATGCATGTATCTGGTTTTGTTGCGCGTATAGACTAGAAATCTGTGTTTTTAGTCAGAATCTGATGTGTGCAAGCGATGTCTAGCACCGTCGCCTTGTGATATACTATCACCTTGCCGAACATTTTGCTCTCACGTGGACATTTGCACAGGTCTCTTCTAAAAAAAGACAATGGTGGAGTTGGCTTTTACGATCATCCTACTATCTGTTTGCAGTTCAGTCACTGGAAATGGTAACACCGGCAAGTTTTACTATACCGTAGGTGAAGTCGTCATAACTTATTTGAATTTGAATGCTTAGGAGAAAGGTTAGATGATCCTTCGGAACTGATATTTTCAAAATTGATAAATTACTTTTTTTTCTTTTGAAGACCTGTGTTATATCTTTGAAGATATCTATCATCTTCCCTCTGTTTCTTCTGTAGCCCAGAGTTGTTAATTTGAGCCGCCCAAGTCTAACTGGCTATAATAGATCTGACTTTTGTATGAAGTACACCTCTAGTAAAGTGTATTTTCCACCATTTAATCTACAATAAACAGCCATAGATTTGAGAGAAATGTATTTGTGCAATTTACATATATAGGGTCGATAATTCCTATATCTCTTTGTCTTTTATTAACAACATGCTTTCAAAATTTCCCCCAATATCACAAATTCCGTGACCAAGGTTTACATGATATGGCGTGTGTTGTCGATGAAGCAGAAGACGTTAAGTCTTCCGGAACATCCGGCCTATGTTGCTCAGAAGTAAGAGTAAACTAGTGGTTTTTATAAAGCTGAAACTGCTACCATTGATTACACAAGAGCGTTAAAGCTAAAATAAACTCTAAGATTATATCTAACCTGTCTAAACAAAATGTGTTTCCTGTTTCGTTTAATTCATGTTTAGAAATTTGTACCTCTAACCAGTCTTTGAAAAGCCGGGTCCTGACCTTATTCTCACCGTAAGTTTTCAAGTGTCGACGTGTAAAATTTTCATTTGTTTTTATATTTTGTTTGATTAATTTTGAATTTGTTATATAATTCTGTCGACCTGTCCAATTTTTTTTTCACGGGTGATTGAGATGCCGTAAAACAACAACAAAGCCATATATTATGTTTTATTAAATAAATCGACAATCATAACAAATAATAAACTAAAGGTGAGATAGATACAATGTAGTTCGTTGGTCAAAGAAACCCATTTATCAACTAACTGGCACAAATAGTTACATAGTAGAATCAGGATCTTTTGTAATCTTGTTTTCTAAACATCTAGGTGTTTTTAATATCAAAGAATGCAACATAAACAAGTACATATATATATAGAAAAATAATGACAATATTTACATTTACATCATCACAATTTCCTGATCAAACAACTTTAAACCTCTTTCAACATGAATATATTTTCAATATTTATTCTGTCACGTGGGATTTACATACGCTTCAGGCCTCTTTCAAGGATACTTCAATAACCTAACGAGAAAATTATCTGTATTCCATGTTCGTTTCAGTGATTCAGATTTCCAAGATACCTAGCTGGTTGATTCAGTGAAAACATAGCTTTAAAGAGCTAATGTTACATTGATAAGAAACATTATTCTGAATAAAAATTGAATTAATTATTTCGCTCTATGCAATATGCAAACTGCAGTCATGCGTAACATATATATGCATATTTAGAATAACTGAAAATCCTACCTCGTCTCTGAATGGCGAAAACCTGTTCTCTGATGATTAGTTAAAAATGTATGAAACCCACGGTTGACAGTAAGTATAGTATTATCCAATATAATTTAAAATTAACTCCAACGTAAAATCATAAAATTTTGTGTTTTGATATATTTTGTAACCAAGAGTTGTATCTCATTTTTGCCAGAAGTGGGAGGAATAATATGACGTAATGTAGATTTTGTCCTGTGGACTACATTTTGTGACGGCGAAGTTGACGTCGTGATTCGGTTTATAGTGTCAATAATTTCAACGTGTTTCTTTTACATAAATTAAAACCGGAAATTAAAGACTTGTAAGACATGATTGCTGACTTGGTTTGGACCCAAATGTTAAGGTTTTTGTCTGTTTCGTAAGAAATAATGATAAGCACATCGACCTCCTTTTATGAAAACTCTTCCACAGCATCTATGAAAGTAAAATGTCTTTTAAAAAAAGTTTAATTTTAGAACTTTTTTCAAATAAAAAAAGAATTCAAGCAATTTTTCAACAAATACATCTCTCGGTTGCTATGGAATTTCGCGACCGCCACATCAATTGAAAATTAGAATTTTTGGTTGTTTTTTCTTATTATACCAGCACCATTCTGCTGCATTGCTGGATACAAAAGCCGCTTCCAGTATAATCAAGAATTATCATGATTCACGAAAAAAATGATGAAAAATAAACAAAATACATATTTCACATGACATATATTAAGAGGTAAACGAAGTGCGGCGATATCTTGTGTGTTTGCTATCAAATTACTTTCTGCCATCTTACGTTTCAAAAAATCATCACCAGGACAAAAGTTAAATTTTAGAAAATCCCCCCCCACACACACACACAACACTCTCTCATTCTCTCTCTCTCTTTCTCTCTCCAAACAAGATCATTAAACCGATAATGAACTGGACATTTTATAAAATATCTTAAAGTGTTCCTCTAACATTATACTGTGATAATGGTATATATATATATATATATACGAGATACGCCCACATTTAACATTATATTAACATAAACAGTAACATTTAGTAAGGAAACTCCCACATATCAATATCAATTGCATTAATTAAACACGACAGGGTCATTTTCAAGATAATATTTTCATACAACAAACAATTTATGACTCATTCATACGTCTAGAACCAGCCTTTTGGCTAATCGTTATTCAAACTGACGTGAAAATAATTTTATACAAAATATTTACATCATACAATACCATACATCCTCAATAAGTTCTGAAAAAAATTAATATCGATCCTTAGAATTAATTATTTAAAAATACATGTATATCATGAAAATATGTCACAACGTCTTATTCAAGATTCAAAGTTCCAAATCTGTAGTCGGTTTTACAGGCGGATACATTCCTGTCCTTTTCTGTATGATATACCAGCCGGACAGGAGGAGATGCATCTCCCTTCATGTTTGAAGTATTTACACAGCTGTAAATAAAAGTATAAAATGTAGGTTAACTTAAATGAATAAATTTGTATATCAAAATAGGCATAAGCGTACTATTTCAAATAAGTTAAATACGAAATAAAAAAACAAGAAGCAAAAAAAAAGTTACATTAGTTTTCATTAAGAGTGATACACCTATAACGTATACCTTATCATCTTAATTGTTCTTAATTGGATTCGAGCAATGCACACAATCAAACATTCCTCTTTGCTGAAACAACATTACTTTCATTTCGAAAATCTTTCAACACTGGTATTCACCAGCATCAGCAAGCAAGATTGTGCGAAAGATGCAGCAATGAATAGTACCTTTCAGCGTAGGTTATACTTATATAGACTTGTATATGGTATATATTTCCAATTAATTAATTAATTAAACTGGACCAATTATTGTCTCGTTTACTTACGTTCACGTGGCGAATGCAGAAAAAAGAAATTGGTCAAAATTTATGTAAAAAAAAAAAAAAACGAACGAGAGAGTGCACCAACCCCAAAATTTAACAGATTAAACCGAATAATTTCAAAAGAAAGTCAATTGTATGAGTATATTCGGAACCGTGCAAATATTCGAACGAAATAAAACGTGTCATGCAGTTTACGGCAGCGTCTACCACCTGCAATCTCGAAGTTTGCACAAAAGGCAAAGAGGTGAATAGACAGCTTTTGTACGTGTCTTATTTTAGAATTTGTTCGACGATGAAGCGATCCTACTCGCTTGAAATACCGATGATGATCTTCACTTTAAAATTTCAAACTACTAAAATGCTTTAAATTGTCCTGAATAAAACCAATATTATCAAACATTTCTGTTAATATCTCAGCAATTTTCGTTAACCAATCGTACCACACAATCCGTATCACGTGGACCGTAACAGCCAATCGCACACTCTGGATGGCAGCAACCCAGGATGTAACCGTCATAACAACGTCCCGGACAATCTGGGTGACACCATACCGGCGCCTCGTCTACAAAATAAAAAATATTTCAGAAAAGTAAATAATTTGAAAAAAAAGTTAAGGATATAACTACAGTGAAGAAAATAAGACATTTTTCTGTTTGCAGTATAAACAGAAATACACAAAATTACAACTATGTATTTGTTGTAAAATTTATGAATTTTTGAATTTTTGCTAATGCTTGCATTTGACAACAATGGTGAGCTCAATGGTGAGCTCAATGAGATCACGTCCATCCTCCATAAGGTACGGTCTCCAAAGTATAAAAGATGTCACCGTTATTGAACATTCTTGGGTGGCGGAGATCATGAAATCAAATTAATATTATTTTATAACAGTTTTATTATCGCTTTTTGCTAGGATGTAATGAAATCGAGAAAACTATATTTATTGATAATAAAATAAAAATAGAAAAAAAGTGGTCCATTTCAGGACTTTCATTAAAAATGCACTCGTTTTGCTCCAAAATACATGTAAATAGATAACAAAGGGCCTCTGTCGCCCACTTGGCTTATTCAGCTATTGAGTCATTTAATAAAGAATTTCAAACATGAAGAATGATTTATGAAATAATTTAAAACAGAAGTCAGATTCATCCTTCATACAAATTGCAATATCCTTGTACGTTTCCCCAATTGGGCCCCACACCTCTGATGTCAGACTCCTACTTTCAAGTAGGTATAAAAGCTTCAGACCAAATGGAGAGAGAGAATCACGGCATTTCCATAAAAGAAGGATTTAAAGAAATATCTCTATTTCCTCTATTGGGCCCCGACCCTCTCATCTCAGTATTTCCCCTATTTGGCACCGTCTCTGGAGTCCGAGACTCATCGTGTATTCAAAATCGATTCACCCAAGGATGCTTCTGACCAAATTTGGGAACAATCCTATTTTTCCTATAGGAGGAGTAGAATATTCAAGAATTTCTGCTATTGGGTCCGGCCCTTGCAGTCCAAGGGGGACCGGCCGTTTATTCAAAATTGAGCTCCCTTAACCTAAGGATGCTTCTGTCCTTCAGACAAATTCCAAACATTCTGAAAGAAGAAGGGAGAATTCAGAAAACGAGAACCAATATACAAACTTTTCTGACCAAATTTGGTTCATGAGTATTTTCTAAATTTGACGGACGACTGAAAACGGACGTCGAACGGACAACGGACGGATGACGAACGCCTCCCCGTGGCATTAGCTCGCCAGTCCTTCGTATCAGGTGAGCTAGAATTTGAGCCAACGATAAAGGTAACCTTTGTTTTATATAAATATCTGCCTACTGAGTCACGGATCCATTAAAAAACACATTTCTACAGCACAGTGTTGTTTGATAATTAGACGTGTTAAAATGTTTTGTGTGTCTTAAACATTCCATTACGTTTATACTTACGCCGCTGACACATAAGAGGGTTTCGGCCCCAGCAGTGAGCAAATTCGTCCCCAACTTGACATGCGGGATCACACTCCAGTGGACCTGTAAAATATTATCATTATTGAAATTATTTGTATATATTGGTCGCTAAATATCTCTATCGTTATTATACACTTACTTTACCCTCCAGTCAACCATCCACGTTACAAATGTGTTGGCATAAAATCACGAATGAAGCTTTGAAACATACTTATTTTATCCACGCGCAATACTTGCAGTGCAGCTCTCGTTGATTGTGTCGTTACTATTATGAAACATACAGACAGTAGATATGGAGCGTACTGGTATAGCAACTTAAAATGTGTCATTTGTACAATCACATGTAGTTAAACGTTTGAACTGTTTAATTGTAGATGAATGTTGTGTCTATTATTATATAAACACACAGGGGACTCTCGCCTATACAGTGAGGCTCGAGTAGCCATATACATTTTAGTTCTACCTACACGTAGTAAAGACGTTACTTTTACTGATTTAAGCCTGGTTGCTAGTGTCAACATGATCATAATCCAAATCAAATCCAATAAAAAGAGTAAAATATTAAGAAAAAAGGAAGAATAAGATCCGATGTCTGGAAGAATAATTGTCTTGTATTTAATCAACGTCACATGCCATGTAAATCTTGGTCAATCCAAGCAAGCAATTTTCGGCATGTTCTCCGTTGAGAACAAAGTATACAACAACGGAACCAACAGGCAAAGTAACGAGCATCAAACACGTCCAGCTTCATATCGCAGAAAGAAATAGACTGTTTCTCATTGAGATCAATATGGCGGTAGTTAAACTTCCCTAGCTAAAGTTGAACTTGTAGTGTTGCCGTCATATAAACTTACAAAGAACCTTCAGACGTAATCGCTATTATATTTTCACTATTTATTCAGTGGCTATGTTTACTTCCGGTAAAATCTTTTGGTGTCGTCGCTCTATTTATCAAACTTATAGGCGTCATCGGCATATTTACTTACAATCGAATCTGTATGCGTCATCGCCATAATTGACAGGATCCTCCCGCCCAGGGACAATCACGTGCCAGTTGACTGTGTTAACGAAACACAACATCGGATTTTTGTAGAACAAGACTTTTCCTTTTGATATTTCTGAAATTGAAATGGGAAAATTAATTCTAAATTTTATAAATTAATATGTAATAAAATGTTTACACTTTTAATTTCAATAAAAACGTACAAAATATGTGATTTTATTTGAAAAGTTCAAGATTCGACATAAGGTATGATCATGTGTTGAACAGGGTGTTCTAGAGTGAACATTGTACAAACCTTTCAGTGATGGAAGCTGAAGTTCAACAAGTCCATGTCTGTATATTTCTGTCTCCACTCCATCAGTAGTATTTTCTTTTTGAAACTCTTTCCCTTCAGCCTCTGCGGTCAACGCCAGAACGAGGCCATACTCCTCCCCCATGATGTTATATGTGTTGTCCGCTCTGATTAGCTTGAGACTCGTCAGTGGGATGTTCTCCACGTCCAGTAGACCAATGAGAACATATCCCGTCACGACCTCGATTTGGGACAGGAAACTGAGGTCATAGGTTATATTGGCCGAGTTGACAAGATTAGTGATTTCCAAGTTACCCTCCACATATGTACAGTCCTTGTATCTTCGTTTTAGAGCCTCGTAATGGAACTCGTGTCCACCAGAAAAACCAAAGCCAACGTGAGTTCCCTGGCATTCTGTAAAAATTCAATACACAAATTAAAACACATACCTATATTAGGGCATGTGGCGAATTAGTTATGTTGCGGGGTGTGTGGTGTGGGATGAATTATTTTTACACTTGTAGGTCCATGACTTAAACGCTTTGATCAAAGATATTAAATTGATATACATGTGTTGTAGCAAGTGACAATCCACTGTGACCAATCTTAACTGACGCAATCGTCCACAAAAGAGGTCTAAGTGAACTTAAACTGAAGTACGCGTTCATGTCAACTGTAGTGTTTATAGTATTCTTAAGCTGAAGTGAGAGTTTACGTCCTTAGTTGCGGCCAAACACAACTTCAGCTGTAGAACCAATCACAGTGTAGTGGTCATTGATAATTTCTACTGAAACAACCAATCACAGTGTAGTGGTCATTGATATTTCTACTGAAACAACCAATCACAGTGAAGTGGTCATTGATAATTTCTTCCGAAACGACCAATCACAGTGTAGTGGTCATTGATATTTTCTACTGAAACAAGCAATCACAGTGTAGTGGTCATTGATAATTTCTACTGAAAGAACCAATCACAGTGTAGCGGTCATTGATAATTTCTTCCGAAACGACCAATCACAGTGTAGTGGTCATTGATAATTTCTACAGAAACAACCAATCACAGTGTAGTGGTCATTGATAATTTCGACTGAAACAACCAATCACAATGTAGTGGTCATTGATAATTTCTACTGAAAGAACCAATCACAGTGTAGCGGTCATTGATAATTTCTACTGAAACAACCAATCACAGTGTAGTGGTCATTGATAATTTCTACTAATTTCATTGATAATTTCTACAGAAACAACCAATCACAGTGTAGTGGTCATTGATAATTTCGACTGAAACAACCAATCACAATGTAGTGGTCATTGATAATTTCTACTGAAAGAACCAATCACAGTGTAGCGGTCATTGATAATTTCTACTGAAACAACCAATCACAGTGTAGTGGTCATTGATAATTTCTACTGAAACAACCAATCACGGTGTAGTGGTCATTGATAATTTCGACTGAAACAACCAATTACAATGTAGTGGTCATTGATAATGTCTAATGAAATAAGCGCCATGTTTACTAATAACGAAGAAACGTCTCCGTATTCTCTGAAGAATTCTGTTTAGCTAATATCAGTAATATGAGTATTGACATGCCGTCTGTAATCTACAGTCAATCGTGTCACCGCCACACAGGAAATACATTCTCAAGTACACAACGGAAGTATGGTTTCTCAGGGTCGCCGATTTACTTGTGTACCGTCTAATACGGATTACAATGTTATCAATTAAATAGGTCAAGTTCGTTAATTCTTCTTTTTTTATCTTTTTCATTTGAAGAGTTCACTATTAATGTATTTTCTTATCTCGTTTAACTCTCGGAATAAGATCAATAAAGTTATAAACTTTCATCAAATTGACCCTAACAACAACATGTATGCATTTGATATACAAAACTGTAGATATGGAAATGATTACGTGATTTCTTTCATTTTTTTACTTTAAATAACAAGGATCTTGTCAGTCGAATATACGAACCTGAGTAATAAATCACGGACATTACCGATTTCTATCTATCAGTCGTTTACCTCGATATTTTCCTTATTAGGAAACAATCTGGGACAGCATTCCACCAAACTCTGTGATAAGCGCGAACATTTCAATTACCATATTTGGTATTTTTCTTTTTTCTGGATATTAACTTCCATACATAACCAAACTATGGTGTTTAAATGTCACAGATGATTCGAAACGCAAAAGAGAATTTCCCAATACCATGACTTTGTAAGATATGTCGACAATTGACAGAAAAAAAACCTCACACAGGGTTTTGAGACGAAGGTTAATAACGATTATAGGAGAGATTTATGGTCGTTATAATTATTCCACTAGGAATCATTCTATATCCTTGTGTGATATGGAGTTAGACGTGTTTCATGCCTGTTAATAAAGCTGGTGGTGTTGTATTTGTTTTTTCCAGTTCTCATTTCGGAACGTGATATATAAGGCAGGTGTCGTTGATGAAGCAGAGGACACTCACCCTCGACAAGTCTCAAAGACGAATAAGATTTTTTTAGATGAGGAAATTATCAAGCCATGTAGAGCTGGCTATCATGATAACACCAATCTATCTCAGTAGAAAGGGCACTGAAGATTAAATTCTTAACATAGAAAAAAAAATGGAAGACGCCGTTTAATCATTCGCCATTTTTTATCTACGGAACATTTAATAAAAATAATTTGATGTTTATTAAATGGGTATTGTTAGTTTTTGCCAAACCAATGAACTTCCTAACAATGGTACCGACTGAAAGGGCATCATAACATCTTCCGATATGAGGTTTGTTTAGAAACAAATGATTACCTGTTTATGAATCATACAGCTGTTTTAATAATTAAGGGATATGTGATTTTTTTCATATTGTAGTATAATCTATTGAATCATTCTTTTAATATCGTTTTTTTTTTATTTTTCGATTGGTTTACGTATGTTTTCCGAAATTCGTGGCGTTAGATTTAGTCAATAATGATAAAAATGTCTCGTTGTAAATGATATATACAATTCTATTGACCTAATTATTAAATATTGAATTTGATGATATGTCTGAAAACGTCTTTAGATATCAAAATTTACTTTCACTTTAAAATTCATTTATATATATTAATCTTGAACGCGAACCAAGCCCAAAACCTCTTACAGAGTGATTCGGGATGAATATGGTTAAGAAAGAAAGAGAGTTATATCAGTACAAAGGTACATGTATCTACCAGTTGATGGCCCCGAACGAATATATTACTTTCCCTGTTCTCATGTGTTTCAGACAAGATCTGTAAATGTTGTTACGAACTTCAGACACCAACATTTGGGCCAACACTAGGCTATGTTTTAACTTCGTTAATCAATCCTGATTTTAAAATGCATGTATTATTTAAACAAAACCACATGTATTAGGTATTCATTTCACGTGTAAGACATGCACGTGGTCTATTTATAGAAATATGATCTTGTGCCAGTATGTGTTACTCAGAAACAAGAGCCCTCACGCCGCACAGATGTTTTCCCTTGTTTTTAATTGGTCCGTGTACTTGATGACCCGCCGGGAGTACGAGATTTTGAGTAGTTTATTGTACTCCATGTATTTTGTCGTGTGTGTTTCTCTGGTTAATTTATCGCACTCTGTTGGGCCAGACCGATACATCTTTTTTTTGTATTGTGGGTAATGATTATCAGAGCAGTGGTTTGCCGTAAAACAAATGAAGCTTCAGACTTGTCTTCTCTTTCCAAATATAATCAATGATTTTTTTTGTGTGTATTATTGATGATTGGTACAAAACATGGTTAAAACACAAACCGTTATTAATGATTATCAAATTTCCCATAACCTTAGACACATATAATACAGGCAGATGTAAACCCCTTATTCCCCAAATGTTTGACTTACTTTCTCTTCAAATAGTTTTGTAGATATGCTGTCCTAATTAGCGTATACCATGATATGTAAACTATGTAAGTATCATTCTTTATAACAGAGAGGCGCGTTATCAGTGGTAATGGTTACACGTGTTAAATATTAAAGTCAAACTACAGCTGTAACCTGGACCATCCCATTTGTTACATCCTAGTGGTCTGGTCACTTACGTAGGTTTGTAGGAACTTAAACGACGGGAAACAAAACTATCACTACACAAATATCTTTATAAATGTAAGTATATATAAGATTGAACGAAAGACACGCAGGTGAATATCGCCTTTTAGAGTTAGGTACAGTGGAGCCAAACAATTAAACTGCATCATACAGCTGTTTCGTCCCACTAGGACGCGTCAGTGATGTTTAAGGTCTTACTTGGGAGCCTAGGATTCGACTAAAGAATATCGAACGTAATCGAAAAAAAAGTTAAAATCTAGACTGGGGGGTACAGCAGCTCTATAATTAAAACAATTTCGTTATTTCCATATACAAGATAATTTTAGAACAATGTCAAGAACATGTGTATATTCCGAACCGTGCCACAATTCGAGTGAATTAAAAAAGTGGCTTGAAGATTGAGGCAAACCTCGGGAAGTTAAAGTCCATCAGTAGTGTCTACCACCTGCTCTCTCTAAAATTGTACAAATTGTATAAAAGACATTTCACTTTATGAATACAGACTTGGTTATATTGAGGTACATAAAAGTATATATGGATCATTTATGACGTGATCATATTACTATTTCACCATTACAAATGAATTATCAATATTTACGAAGTGGCTAGACGATTTATATCTATTTTTATACAGTAATGATATTATACTGGTCTTGTATTTGTATCAATTGCTATAATACATTTTGTTTTTAGATGTATATATTTTTTATTGTATTGATATCATGAACACTCCTACGTTTCGTAAGACCATTAGTAATAAAATTTGCTTTTCCTTCCGATATTACTTCCGATAAAACACGATATCAGCTTTCAGAATTTTTCACAAATAAGAAAAAGATCGGATAGGACGCTTATTTCATATTTTTGTGTTCCAAGGAAAATATACTTTGTTTCTTCCCGGTTCTTATGAGAAGAATGAATAAAGCTTAAGTTTAAGACATACGATTTGTGATGGAAGTAACAGTTCACGGTTCTGATCACCGAACCTTTTTAACGAGAGTCATTTTCGATAAGAAGAACATGAAATAGCGTTTCCCATAACTTTTTTATGCGCAGGTCACGTGGGATATTTATTGAATTAAAAAAAAACCCAGAAAATATGGCAACACAATCATAATCCAAACTCAAATTCGATAGATCTAGGGCAAAATATGACCAAAAGAAAGATTTGAACGGGAACTCATGAAAAATACAAGGAGAATAAGACCAGGTGTTCCGAAAGAGTAAGCTTCTTCTGCTTCATCGATGACACCCGCCATGTAAAACATTGGTCAATTTAAAGTAAGTAATGTCATGTTCTAAATCGCACATAGAAATAGAATATGTCTCCAAGATATCACCATGGCGACAGCAAAACCTCACAATAATTTTCATCAACCTGTATATCTAAAATCACGTGTTAAGGAGTTTGCCGAACAGTTGACTTCTTGCACGGAAATCATGATTATTACCTAAATAATGATTATCTTTAGATTTTTTTGTATTTCTAATGTGTAAGTAAATTCCAATTGTTTAAAAGCAAAATAGTCATAGTTCTCCCAAGCGTCCATTATTTCATATATTTTCATATATAAAGTTGCCAGTTTCAATCATAAACTACAAAAAATATCTGACTGGGTATATATTCAAACGCTTTGTGATGTAATAAATTAGTTGTCAACCTGGATCATGAATATTAAAATATGTATATTTTTTAAAAATGATCCGATCTGACTACTGTCAGCTTATTTCTGAACGATTCTTGAAACAACGACTGTCCATGATTATTTTCTAGTGGTGTTCTAAACAAAGACTTTCTTTATTTAATAGCTGTTTATTTCATATTGTACCCATTAAAATCTCTCAAATTTAATGATTTAATAATGCTACCATATATGTTCACAGCATTTTCTAATAAATCTCTTAACAGTCTGAGGTACATAGTTAACCTACTTTTTAGATTATGATATCTTCAGAAATGTCAAATCAAGGACAGATGTCCTCATTCAAGCAATTCAAGATGTAAAAAGAAATCAGATTGTGTTTCATTTGGTTTTTTTACCTGGAGCTTTTTAAAATCAATATATAGATTTTTATCATTGTGTAAATGATTAAATTTAATTAGATTTGTTTAGACAATCACATAAACCTTCATCTTCATCAGGTTGACGTTTTTACATTTAATTCAATTCTAAGTAGGATTAATATACCAATTTCCTGTCGTCCCAGGAAACAGGATAGACAATCTCTTTCAATAATTATAAAACATCGGATTCGATCTCACGTAAGGTAAACATAAGTCATCATTAATTATAATTCACAATCCGCTGTTGAGAAGAAACCATTATAGAACACATAGGAACACACCGAACACAGGACAGTCAGGACTAGGTGGGCATTATGTATCCAAATTATCAACTATCTACAACAGTTATACAGAGTAGTGGATAGTTGTTAAATAAATACCTAGCATGAAGCCATCACTGTAGAAGTATGTAAAACCCTACTCACCTGTTTTAGCGAAATCGTCAACTACGTCCACTATTTCAACTGAGTGGACATAGGTCAGTCCAAGGACACTAACACAACATAGAGCAAGCCCCCACATCATGTGCTAAAAGAAAACACACAACACAAGATGGCTGTCGAGCAATAGAAGTCTTACAGCGTACTTCACTTCAGGTCACGTGGTTTTTTGTGAAGAGAGAAAGCTGTTGATGATGATGCACGGAAGTTGAGAAGGCTGTTCCCATGGTGATTTGTCTTCAAAGCGGTACGGTTAAAGGACGGTCTGGCACGTAGTCAAAATTTATGTTATTACCAATGTGTTTTACATGAAAGATCACAACCTATTTCTGTACCCTCATCCTCATACCCTCTCATGTAACCCTGTTCTTACACTAGAGAAGTATTCTAACTTGATATGGGTTATTTTTATAACAGGCTTAGTTGACATTTATCAAAGTTTCTTAAAAACAGAACTGTAGTGCAAAGTGTGGAAAAGTATATTCAGAAATGATCAGAGGCGTTTTGGGTCCTTCAAAATTCCTGTTTCATTATCTCACTTTTGAATATACCGCATGATGAACCTGTAACCCTGGTTACCAACAGTGGTAACACATACCTGGTCGAGTCGTTTAACTTTGAGATATATTGTTAATGTATTTTCTTTAAGAAACAAGAACACTGTAGTATAAACACACTAACATCAGAAATTCAGGACGCGACTCTACAGCATCAGCCGCTTACATAGGAATACTTTATCATAATCTCCTTTTATGTTTTACGATTAGGAATTTGAATCAACGTTTTCCCCTTCATTTTGTACAGTAAAAATTAAAGTAAGAGAGTCAATTATTTTCCCGATCAAAAACTGTTATACTCACATTTGGCAAATATCATTCCGTAGGAAAGCCTCACTACCCGTAAAGGTTTGGTAAACCAAATATGATCCCATAGGAAATCGTCACTTCCCGTAGTGGCTGGTAAACCAAATATGATCCCGTAGGAAAGCGTAACCTCCCGTAGTGGGCTGGTAAACCAAATATGATCCCGTTGGAAAGCCTCACTACCCATTATGGTCTGGTAAACCAAATATGATTCCGTAGGAAAGCGTAAACTCCCGTAATGGGATGGTAAACCAAATATGATCCCGTTGGAAAGCGTTGATGGGTTGGTAAACCAAATATGATCCCGTTGGAAAGCGTAACCTCTCGTAATGGGTTGGTAAACCAAATATAATCCCGTAGGAAAGCGTAACCTCCCGTAATGGGTTGGTAAACCAAATATGATCCCGTTGGAAAGCGCAACTTCCCGTGATGGGCTGGTAAACCAAATATGATCCTGTAGGAAAGCGTAACCTCCCGTAATGGGCTGGTAAACCAAATATGATCCCGTAGGAAAGCGTAACCTCTCGTAATGGGTTGGTAAACCAAATATGATCCCGTAGGAAAGCGTAACCTCTCGTAATGGGTTGGTAAACCAAATATGATCCCGTAGGAAAGCGTAACCTCTCGTAATGGGTTGGTAAACCAAATATGATCCCGTAGGAAAGTAACCTCGTTGTAATGGGTTGGTAAACCAAATATGATCCCGTTGGAAAGCGCAACTTTCCGTGATTGGCTGGTAAACCAAATATGATCCCGTAGGAAAGCGTAACCTCCCGTAATGGGTTGGTAAACCAAATATGATCCCGTAGGAAAGCGTAACCTCCCGTAATGGGTTGGTAAACCAAATATGATTCCGTAGGTAAACGTAACCTCCCGTAATGGGTTGGTAAACCAAATATGATCCTGTAGAAAAACGTAACCTCCCGTAATGGGTTGGTAAACCAAATATGATTCCGTAGGTAAGCGTAAAGCAAATGTTATACTAAAACGTGCAGGATACAGATGAATTGTTTGGAAATTTTTGTATTTTTTTTTAGTGAAAATGCAAAAATGACGTATTTCTAACTGAGATATTCAAGACAGTTCATTTTTTTGAGAAAAAGGTGTACGCCATAACGTAAACGTGATGAATATGTAGTTCTGAGATTCGATCGTCAACATTTCATCACAGATATAGATTTAAACAATCGTTCGGCGGAACTATTTTCAAAATCACCACCAGAATAACGAGAAAACGCTTTCCTTTATTACATCCAGAGATGGTACCTGTCCTGCCATTTGTATTTCGGTGTCCGAGATTGAAACATCTCTGTCCTCTGTCCTTGTTGTCACCATTTGGTGATTCAGTCGACCGTATTATCATCTGTTAATTCATTCCACCATATTTATTATGTGTCAATTCAGTCAACCATGTAATTATCTGTTGATTCAGTCGACCATGTAATTATCTGTTGATTCAGTCGACCATATTATTATGTGTTGATTCAGTCAATCATATTTATTATGTGTTGATTCAGTCGACCATATTATTATGTGCTGATTCAGTCGACCATTTAATCATCCGTTGATTCAGTCGACCATATTATTATGTGTTGATTCAGTCAACCATATTTATTATGTGTTGATTCAGTCAACCATATTTATTATATGTTGATGCAGTCAACCATATTATTATGTGTTGATTCAGTCAACCATGTAATTATCTGTTGATTCAGTCAACCATGTAATTATCTGTTGATTCAGTCAACCATATTATTATATGTTGATTTAGTCGACCATTTAATCATCCGTTGATTCAGTCGACCATGAATTATCTGTTGATTAGTCAACCACGTTATTATCGGTTGAATCAGTCAACCATGTTAATATCTATTTATCCATTTAACCATGCTAGTACGTGTATATCAACACCAGACGTTTTCATGTTATCATCTGTTAATTTGAACAGCCGTGTAATCGTCTGTTGATTTGTACAGCCGTGTAGTTGTAGGTTGATTTGAACAGCCGTGTAATCGTCTTTTGACTTGAACAGCAGTGTAATCATCTGTTAATTTGAACAGCCGTGTAATCGTCTGTTAATTTGAACAGCCGTGTAATCGTCTGTTAATTTTAACAGCCGTATAATCGTCTGTTAATTTGAACAGCCGTGTAATCGTCTTTTGACTTGAACAGCAGTGTAATCATCTGTTAATTTGAACAGCCGTGTAATCGTCTGTTAATTTGAACAGCCGTGTAATCGTCTGTTAATTTGAACAGCCGTGTAATCGTCTGTTAATTTGAACAGCCGTGTAATCGTCTGTTAATTTGAACAGCCGTGTAATCGTCTATTAATTTGAACAGCCGTGTAATGTCTTTTGACTTGAACAGCAGTGTAATCATCTGTTAATTTGAACAGCCGTGTAATCGTCTGTTAATTTGAACAGCCGTGTAATCGTCTGTTAATTTGAACAGCCGTGTAATCGTCTGTTAATTTGAACAGCCGTGTAATCGTCTTTTGACTTGAACAGCAGTGTAATCATCTGTTATTTGAACAATTAATTCATTTGAACAGCCGTGTAATATCTGTTTATTTCAACATGCGTGTAATCGTCTGTTATTTGAACACCAGTCGTCTTTTGATGTTATCATCTGTTAATTTGAACAGCCGTGTAATCGTCTGTTGATTTGTACAGCCGTGTAGTTGTAGGTTGATTTGAACAGCCGTGTAATCGTCTGTTGATTTGAACAGCAGTGTAATCGTCTGTTGATTTGAACAGCAGTGTAATCATCTGTTAATTTGAACAGCCGTGTAATCGTCTGTTAATTTGAACAGCCGTGTAATCGTCTGTTAATTTGAACAGCCGTGTTATCGTCCGATTCTTTTCCAAAGTAGTGAAAACACACAAAGTTATAATTTAATTTGTTTTATTATTTAGAGCAATTGACTAAAATGTGACCAGTAAAAACCACGTCACACCACTTAATGTTTATTAAGGACACATTTCTTTCAACTAAAAAAAAAGAAAAACCCAAACTACTTATAACATAAATCGGACACGTGGGCAGGAGTTGATATGTACCCACAGTGTTGTCTGTTGGAGTTACTCCATGGACGGCCTTGTCGTTCAAGGAGGTACAGTGGTCATCGAGGGCAGTACAGTAGGGGAACGAGAGGATGTTGTAGATGATGACGAGAATGGGTAATAAGTTGAACGTGTAGGGTATTTTGAACCTGTAGGATGTGTAGGGTATGTAGGATATGTAGGATATGTAGGATATGTCGGGCTTGGTGGATCAGGACGGAGTATTGGTATCAACTCGTGTAGAATGGACCGATAGCTTGCGGCTTGTATCATAGTATCGGAGTATCGTTGTATACTTGGGTATGGTTTAGGAGGTACAACAGAAACAGCTGTAACAAAAGCCATGTATATAATTTATTCCAGCATTCACGAAAAAATTTCTTTTTTTTATTTTTTATTTTTTTAAATTTTCGCAGGAGAGCTCAAGATTAAATCTTGTGCAATGCATGAAAACGTCAATGGTTTCCACATCTGATTTTGTTTTCAATGTATTTTTTTTTTAAATCTTATTTCATCTTCAAAAATTACGATGAAACTAACAGCCTTTGTCGTATTCAAAATTGAAATTGGAACTAGTGGTGTGTTCACCAAGATCTAATTCATAGCAGGCTAAATTACATTATTTAAAATTACTTTCGTTTAAGAAAACGCAACCTTTGAATTCTAATATTTACAAAATATGCAACGACGAGAAAAACGATAGAAGTTTGTGGAGACTTACAACAAACGTAACCGTCCCCGGAGTAACCATTCCGACACACACATTGGTAGGTGCCCATAGATTTATAACAGTCAGCATTCCGATCACACAGTTGTTTACCCATGAGACATTCGTTTACCTCTGAAATTAAATAAACATTGACTATGAAATAACAAATTATATTCAATTACATGGTATTGCGAGAGGGTACGATTTTATTTTGACAAATCCATTTTTTCCTTCCATATCTAGTATGGTAGCCTCATAGGCCTCAAAATATAGGCCTATGTCATCACTGCGGAGTCCTAGAAGGAAGAAACAGCTGTAAGATGCAGTTTAATTCATTGTTTGTATCTAACTTAAAATTTGTATTTAAAGGTGTTTTTCACTTGTGTCTGTTGTACAATCTTTACGATAGAAGGTGGTAGAGACTGCTGGTTGACTTTAAATTCCTCAAGGTTTGCCGTAAGCTGCATACAACGTTTTAATTCATTCGAATAGTGACACGGTTCAAAATATACACACGCATTTGACGCTATCCTAAAATTATGAAAATTACGAAATTTATTTAAATATGGTACTGCTGCAATTCCTCTCCTTGTTTTTTCCTTTTTTTTTTCGATCACTTTGGATTTCCCTTTGTCGCCTCCTCGACATTCCTGAGAGTCCTAGAATGACGAAACAGCTGCACGAAGCAGCCTAGGTCATTGTTTGGCTCTACTCTATCTAACCCGGAATTATCAAAAGGTCCTATTCACTTGTGTGTCTATTGTACAATCTTCTAGTGTATTATTGACATACTCATAAATGTCTCATGTAAAGTGCCGTTTTCTTATTTCTGGATGGAGAATATTTTACACAAATCTGTATGAGATGTCTTTATGATTTTATCTCAATAAATTATGAAATATATGTGATTAATTAATGTTAAATGAGAAATTTTCCTTTTCGGTGAATATATTATGGATATAATTATATATATATATAATGATATAGGTGCGTGTTCACGTACAGACTGCCTTGTGACGAAACAATGTAGACCATCGACGTAGGACTGGAATCACTTTGTAAATGACAAGGTAATATTGATTTTATCGATAATTATCTAAATAATCGATAATTATCTAAATAATCGATAATTAAATAGGATGATCCTAAATTTGTTTCCATTAGGTATGTGATTTATAAAACTCGTCACAAATTTTTCATCTTAGCTCAAAAGCTCGAAAAGATAAACAAAATCCTAAATCAGATATCACAGAATCTACTATAAGATTTAAAATATATCTGTTACACATTCAGCATACATAACGTTATCTGATGTACATATGTTGGTATCGGGAAACATGTCAAACCTAATGAACATATTTAAAATATATGTAGATACTTAGCATGATTCGTAAAACTAATAATTTAATCAACAGGTTCCAAATTTCAGTAGAAGGATATTTCATTATTTAGATGAAAAGATGTTTATTTCGTTTGAAGGAGAAGGAAGTGGGGGCGGAGGGGAGGAGGAAGAAAGGGAAGAGATGGGGAGAGGATGTGGAGGAGGAAGAGAAGAGTTGAGGAGGGAAGGAGGAGGAGAGGATGGGGCGAGGAGGAGGAGAAAGAGGAGGATGAGAGGAGGATGAGAGAAGGATTAGGAGGAGTAGAAAGTGATTGGAATACATCAGAATATTATATCAGGATAAATATCAAAATAATTGGACAGTGGGCTTAATGGTAATATATATCGTTTATTTATAGTGTCAGATAAAATTGAATGGATACTTACCGCAATAACGGCCATCACCGACGTACCCTTGCTTACATCGGCAAACGTTCCAGACACAGTTAGCATACTTGTCGCAGTTACAATTGCCTGTTGAAAAAGTAGGGTTTTTATGTTTTTTGTTTTTAATAGAATTTAAAACATTTTATGTTGTTTTAAATATGATCATTTTAGGTAGTCTTAAATCTGGTCGTGTTATGTAGTCTTAAATATGGTCATTTTAGGTAGTCTTAAATCTGGTCGTGTTATGTAGTCTTAAATATGATCTTTTTGTAAACTTAAATGTGGTTATTTGATGAAGACTTCAATGTTATAACTTTATGTAGACTTAAATGTGGCCATTTTATCTACAGCTGAATGCATATAGTTAAGAACATTTATATGTTGTAATTATACATATACACACACAAAAAATGTTTATTTAATGAAAATTAGCTCATTGCTTTATTACCCGTATTAAACCATACATTAAATTATTTGATATAAACTTACTTAGGTGGCTGTTTTCGAAAGAAGAAAGTTAATGTGTCTAAACATTACAATTATCATATAATCAACCCAAAATTAATCCCATAACTAATCCAAAGTTTCAACATGTCAAGTCCTAACAATCACTGATGACACCAAGAAGGACGAACCAGCTGTATGATGAAGTAAACTTCAATTTTTCCTTCTGCTGTGTCTAATTCTCCATATTGGATTGTGCTGGGAATGATCCCTCCGGTACTACTTTTGTTGTTGAAATGCCTTAGTATCGCAAACCAACTTTAAATGACTGGAATAATTTGTAACACTTCGTTGTTATAAAGGCCCCAAGGAAATCATCTTGATTTCGTATGCTATGATAGAAATCACATGTCCGTGGTATCAGGCAAAAATCAATTAAAACTCGTGCAAATAACTTCTACTTATCATTCAGATGTCATTGCCCTCATTAAGGCACCCATGTCTTCTCTAGTCGGGCTAAGTAACATGTTAAAATGTGATTTCACTTGCATTTACTAGAAATGTTTTATTTTATCTATTCTTTTAAGAAGGATTTAATTTTTGTTTACTAAAGGTTTCAAGAAATAGACAAAAATCTGCACATTGACAAGTTTAACCAAGATATGCAGCCAATAATACCAAACATACAACAGGCTAACATTTTTCAATTCTAGTATAAGGTACAGTAGAGCAGAATTACCAATCAAATTCTATTTCAATCCTCTAGTGCTCGCCAGTAATGTTAAGGTCGTCAGTGTTGATACATAGGAAGTGACTGAGAAAAAACAATATTTGTTCGAAATAATATTAATAGCAAATGCATTTTTTGATATGGCCAATTAAAATACCATAATGATTATAAAAGAAATGAAAACAACAGAAGTGAAATATATTCATGCTGGAAACATAACTTAATATTCTGTTGATTTTATCGTTTTTATTTTTCTGCATAGTGTATAAAGTTTTTTTTTAATTCATTAGTTTTATAAGACGATCTACTTGGTTTATTTTATTTGATTAAAGTAAGGAAGTTATTTTATGTAAACTTAAATCTGATCATTTTATGTAAACTTAAATGTGGTCACTTTATGTAAACTTAAATGTGGTCACTTTATGTAAACTTAAATGTGGTCAATATGTAAACTTAAATTTGGTCACTTTATATTAACTTATCTGTGGTCATTTGACGTAGACTTAAATGTGGTCATTTTATGTAAACTTATCTGTGGTCATTTGACGTAGACTTAAATGTGGTCGTTTTATTTAGACGTAAATGTGGTCACTTTATGAAGACTTAAATGTGGTCATTTTATGTAGACGTAAATATGGTGATTTTATCTACAGCTAATGTATACAGTTAAGAACATTTATATGTTGAAGTTATAAATACACACATACTTTTCCATGAAAAATTGCTCATTTTATTACTCATATTGAAACATATATTAGATCATTCGATATAAACTTACCGCCATTTTTTGGTGTCGTTGTGCTTACTGGTGTTGTTCGCGAGAGTGTGGTGGCTGTTTTCGAAAGAAGAAATACCGTAAGGATTATAAAAGAAATAAAAACAACAGAAGTGAAATATATTTATTGCTGGAAACATAACTTAATATTCCGTTGATTTTTTAAAAATTTTCTGCATAGTGTAAAGTTCTTTTTAATTCATTAGTTTTATAAGACGATCTTTATTCTCTGTTTTCATTACTTCAAGTCTGCTAAAACTACTTTCATTGCAGTGAAAACATTTTGAGCAATTTATGTATTTCACTGGTTCACTGGTAAAGAGACAATATATTTAACATATAAATTATTCATAGGGAATATCTAAAAGTTTCTTCATTAATAACAAATAGATTTCACAACTGTGCCTAATATATCAGTATCTTCACACTCTTGTAAAATACAAAAATATTAGGCACACGAGGGAAATATATTTATTGTTACTGAAGACACGAATTGATATTCGATTTATTATATTTTCACAAGCAACATAGCCATATTACTGTTTAAAACAAATATAAAAAGAGGAAACAGACTGGACTTTTCGCGGACACTACTTATTATAACTTCACAGTACGCGACAAACTATAGATAGTTTTTTAAATCATTAAAAACACAAATATAGAATTCAATGTAACTTTAATTTTTAATCACATAGAAAATGTTACTTATTCATGTCACTAAGAGACAAAATTTGCTGTAATAAATTCAAAGAGAGTTTTACCTGTGACAAGTTACTACGCGGTTGAAAATATGCAACCTACAGTTGTCGCTGCTGATGACACGAATCCCCTTGAAATGTCTAACGTGTTAGCTCCACGTTCAAAACGTTTGATAGGGGATTGGATTTGATCTCTAATAAAGTAATTTGCGTTTTGCTGATTTTCACGGCAATGGACGTTTACCATGGAATTGAAGGTCGTGTCACAAGTTAACAATGCCTCCAAATGTTTGGTTTTGGTGTTTTTTGTACGGGACTGTATGATATGTCAATTTTATCAGTTGCTTTGTGTTCTGCAAAAGTGTTATTTTTCAGTAGCGTCGGCAAAAAGTGTTATTTTTCTGTAGTGAAAAATAACAAAAATGTGTTATTTTTCACTCTTTTTTATATGTCAATGGCAAAAAAGTAATAAAGAGTTATCATATATTGTTCTGTGGATTGACAGAATGAAAACGTAAGCTACGCGGAAGTCAGATGAATAAGTATTTGATCACTACTTACATAAAACCGTCGCTAGTATCAGCCATGTTATTGTGTCCTTCATGATTACGGCTGGCTAGTGTAATACCGTTGTTGTATCATGTAAGGTATAATATTGGAACGTTCGTACATAATTAAACACCGTGAACACTTAACTGTGACGTATTCAACTGTTACATTAACGACATACCCCTTGTAATACCCTGAGGTTAACATTAGTTGAGCATTGCAGACAACAGAATCTGTTATCAATATTAATGAAATTTGATTTTATATACTTAATGGAAACATCAGTGCTTATCAATTAAAGAGACTTAATGGTATGAAGGTGTGTGTCATTATCTTAATAATAAAATCACCAACGCCACCTATATATCTTGTTTAGGTACATAATGCTCGAACGACCATGTATTCTAATGGTCATCAAACACGGCGACCTTTACATCACACAAACCTAGAACAGAATGGATTGATTTTCTAAATCTCGAAGTAAATTGCAACATTTCATATGTTGGATTCGTTAATTGTTTCTAATTGTTTTGCACTGACAGCTTGTTGTTTGTGTACAACCCATTTAATCTAATCTAATTCTTATTTAAGATTCCTGAGGAAGATATGATTAATATAAAACTGTTTTTATGTATCTGCCTATGTATAATTACAATAGCTATTCCCTCCTCTTTCCTGCTAGGTACATGTATCAATGTGATATAAAATAGCACGTAGTTCATTATATCTCATACTGTAATGAACAAAATTATAGGGAAGAAAGAGAGGTTTCCTGCCACTGGCCCAAATCTAACTTCAGGTGACATGTTGAATAAGAGCATACTCTGTCATCGCCTCGCCTCTACATTTCCCATGTCGTGTGATTTTGTATTGTTCTCCTGAAAATCTTCTACTGTCTTGGGTCAGCTAACAGATTTATGGTTCAGATTCGCGGAGATGAGAGCAGCGGAAAGATGACTTTGAAACAGATTCTCGAAAATGACAGTGAATTTTCATGTAATTCTGAATAGTGTTAAAGGGCATAGGTTACGATTTAAAACTATTTCAAAAACACAAATTAGTCGTTTTGATGTTTTTTTTTTAAAAAAACTTATCACTTTTAGGCATATATCCTGCCAGCTATTTTCAGGCTCTCAAAGCAGCCGCTGTCACACGGTCAAAATTTTAATGAGCAGTGAGGTTACTTGACATTGTGACGTGAGCATATATGTGACCTGCTGATGGTGTATGTAATATATATGGTATATAGATCTATTTACATTCTGTGTTGTATCTACCTATATGTCGTAAGTACACTAAATCGTAGTATAAGAGACTATATACTACAATTTACAGTGATGAGGTCAGTGTATGAATACTGTATCCAATGTAAACAAACATGGCCGCCAGTAACAACAAATAAACAGGGCTTGCATACATAAGCCCGATTTTATTTTAGATTTAATTTTAATTCATATCTAGAAACATGGTATACAAGAAACCCTCTTTCGAAACGGACATTCCCAAAGTTCCGAAATATGTAAATCAGCCGGTGTAGACAAAAAGTACACACCACACTGCCCCAGGCAACAGCCATCTCAATGATCAGTGTCACGCGGCAAGTCATATGTTTATGTCCTCTCACAAGAGTGAGTTTTCATTAAAGTCCTACACCAGAAATGTTTCATGTCAGAAAAAAAAGCTTTGAGTACAGCTTTGGTCACCATTTCACTCCCTAGTGAGGACACTACTGGTTTGTAGACATCGCCAACGCCGTTCAAATCGTCATTCATCATCAACCACGTGTAGGAAATACCAATCACTCATAGATCACATTCTCTAGCACTACATCAAAGACATCAGCCCCGGGATTCTTTGTCAATGCAACATTTCATTTTTCAAATTAGATAACGGAAAGGAAAATATCGTCATTTTTTCCGCACTGACGGCCATGTCTAGCCATACAAGCGGTCATTCTGTCCAAGCAATTTTAGGGGCCGCGTCACGCCGAATGAATTTCTAACAATGCGCGAATTTCTTATGAAGAAAAAACAGTGAAATACCATAGTTTTCATTTCTTCTGGAAAATTTTTTCTTTTCCGGTATTTGAAGTTGATGACGTCAATGATATGGAAAGCGGCAAATTTAAACGCGTCATTTGTTACAGTAAAAAGACAATCTTTTTGAATGTAAGTATAAGCATTTAATTGTTACCAAATAAATAGTGATCATAAAATATTTTACTTTTACTCTGTTCGTTGCTTTTCTTCCACACAACATTATTTGCCAACATGTGTTTTCCTTCCAATTATTCAGCGTAACTGTTAGTTGTTTTTTCCGAAACCAGATACGTTTTAGAATTGTATCATTTTATTTTAGCTTTTAACTTCTTTTTATCTACACGTACTACAAGAATTGATCTTACTGATTAAGTAATAGATAAAATAAATCCATTTAATGTTTCAAAATTATGGAATTAAACGCGAGTTAAATAACTTATCAAGTGGTGAGGTCGCCGCCTTGTGAATTACAGGTATCGTTGTAGAAAATATAAATATAAAAAAAAACTTGGACTATGTCACCTGAAACAACTTATAACATACTTGAATCATTTTTAAAACTTTTAATGAAAACATGTAAACTGCTAGTAGTATTTTGGATTATTTTGAATCCGTTTAACTATTGAATTTGTTCAAAATGAGCTGCCCGAATTTTGTTAAAAACTGTAGAACGGGAGACAACTCAAGTTTCTCGGCAAAACTTTTTTTCTTTGCTAATATTTCTATTTCCGATAAACGTCAGTATATCATTATCGATAACACAGACACTATCAACGTGGAACATAAAAGAAACAAATTTGTTGTATCCTTTAATATAGTCAATCTGCATAACCCGCTATTTGTCATGATTGTAAACTAACATGTTCTATACGTGCAGAAACAACCGACGTAGCTAATGGGTTTCATGTATTTTTTTCATCTAATTTCACTATGATAATGTCCTTCATACTTCTATTGTCAATTGTCTCCGCAGTAAGCTACTTCACCGATGTCATGACCTTAACCATGCTTGGAAGTTTGCTCTCGTCTTTCATCACCGGATGTTAACTAATGATAACTTAATGTTCTTTTAGTTAACCGTCGATTCTACATGAAATTGGCGTGTTTACAAGTGATTTTTAAAACAAATATGTTAATATCATGACGACACAATCTATGTAAATAAAGATCAATTCAAAGCGAGGATGATGGTTATGGATAAACTATTACAAGCACAAAATCCTACGTGAAAGAAGTTGTGACCACAACTGACCCAGAATCGTAGTTCAGGATGTCATTCTTTTTTGAAGTAAAAAAGAAATCTAGAATTCAACGTTTGTTCTGGTGATGTTATTTTGAATGGTCACATTTTAGAAAGTGTACACATGTTCCTGATTTTTGATTTCATGAAACAAATATCAGCTTGTATCGTGATCTTGGAAAAAGCGACTTTGGGGGAAATTAAAAAAATTAAAGCACAGCAACTTTTCCGTTTTTAAGCATGAAAATATCCTAAAAGATCCTCTACATAAGCATAAAGTAAAAAACAGAATTGCAGCATAATATCTAACCTTTCAAAAAATTACCAGAACAAAAATTTAATACTAGAACATTGTTTTTACATCTCAGAAAAGTTTATTCTTTGAGTAAAATAATTATGAATAAAAAAAGTTTTAAAAAATAATTGTAAGAAGTTTGATTATAATTTATGGAATTTTGACATTACTATTTCCAGGTGTCTTGAGGACAGTGATTCCACTTGTAACGGCATCAGGTTTGTCCATTCTGTTGTCTGTGCTAGAATTTGTATCCACACCAACAGCCTTGTATGCCGATGTCGTCGTGTTAACCTTTCTTCGATCCTTCGTCTATTGTGCCAATATTCAGTACATCAGAACTACGTAAGTCGTTTACAAAATCAAGATAAAATTCCTGAATAAAGCATACGTTCATCGAGGTTTAAATGAATGAGCAACAATAAAAATAAGCAGTGATAATCCTTCTGAATTAATATACATGTTAACAGAATGTAATATATTCGACATTTGTAGCGAGTTCTTTCTATTATCACGTCTGCGCATTGACAATTCAAACGCAGCGTTACAAAATGACGTCGATATTCTAATTTTCAGAGGTGAAAATACTTGTTCCATTCAGGATTAAATTATTTCATATTTGGTATTTGGTTCTAGGGAAAATTAGCAGTTTTACTGCCTCTAGATCTCGATGTCCTTTGACCCAGCGAAACATTGTCTAAACTGTTTACATTTATCTCAACCATTTTTAAATTGGTAGATAGATATCTATGACCTTGCACTGTTGACCAAGTAACTGGAAAATTTGGCGAACTAAATCTTTGCATTATTTACTTTCAAATACACCAGACCATACAAAAAGATGACAGATCTATTCTTGCTGTTTTAGTATTTTGGTTCATTCTAAAATTGTTCCTCTGTAGATCTTTGAAGGCTAAACAGTACATCCTAAGATCACGAAGTATGCAATTTTGTGAGAGCTACTCTTTGGCAGTACAACCATGTAAAGCGTTTATTTTTTTCCTTGTATAAAAGATTCGTTGAAATATCACGATTTGCACATTTCTTGACCTGCCTCGCGGGTCCCAGAAGGGTTTGGCTACGAGATTGTCATTGTATGAGATTTAACGAAGTACGGAGGATGAAATCTTAAAAAATGTGATCGTGGTTCTGGTTGACAACATCTTCATCAAGTATTGTGGTAAGATTTTCCAAGACTATTGGCATACCTGTTGGAACCAACTGTGCACCTCTGATGGCTGACTTGTTTTTGTACGATGCTGAATTTTTTGAAGAGCTTATCAACAGGTCACGAAGACTTTGCAAAGTCGCTTAATTTCACTTACAGATAAACTGATGGCGTCTTATTTTTAAATTACAAGAGATTTATTGCCAACGTCAATCGTATATATCCATTAGATTTGGAAATTGAGGACACCACATTCTCTTCTACATCTTACCTCGATCTTTTCCCACACCGAAACCTACCTGGATTTCCACCAGACTGTATGATGAACGTGATGATTTCAATTTCCTTATTGTGATTTTTCCATTTCTGTATGACAACAACTCTACATCCCAAACTATGGATTTTACATGTCTGTTCCCTTCATTGCATTTTTTTCAAGAAGTCGTCGACTAAAGAACAAACTCGCCACACAGAGTTTGAAAATATGGAAGCTGAAACGTTAGTTTGCTATTGGTCACGTTGTTGTATACCTTGTTCTCATTTGAGAACGTGACATTACTTATTTAGATTGATTAAGATTTACATGGCGGGTATTGTCGATAAAGCAAAAAGCGCTTACTCTTCCGGAGCATCAATAAATAAATCTCATTTTGGATTATGATTATGGGAAATATTGGTATTTTATATTTGTTTATTGTTTTTGTATATTATGCTATTTACGTACAAATTAAATCATGAAAATAAATCTTTTTGACAGGTGAAGTTGTTCCTGCTGTGTATGTCAACTATTTCTCTGTTTCATCCCATCCTTGTCTTCTACACTCAAAGACGTGATCAACGTAATGATCTGCACAAAAAGCCTGTCAAACCAACGTGAAAATAGCAATTGCATGTCTTCCATGTTCTTGATGTAAACGGAGATGTGTGTAGACACAGCGAACTGACTTTCTATCTTCTATTTTGTAAATTTGCTTAGTATAATTTATCTACATCTTAAAAATGCAGCAATACACCGATCTAGATGTTGGTTTAACTCAAATTATTCAATTCATGTTATATTTGTTTTATTACCCTCTCTACAACTATTTCATAATGTTATATATATTCAAAAAGGCATAATGTAGCCAACAGTATCATATTGTGTGATCATTCTATGTACTTGTTATTATGGGTCAGAAAAGTCTACAAAACACAATACACCGTTAGTAAATTAACATGTGAAACGGTATAAAAGATTCAACAAAAAACATTTATTTCTCACATATATATTTATTTATATCATAAAAATAATGCTATGCGATTTGTGAAATACTAACATTTTCTCAGTTCATAGTCATTTCAAACTCATGTTTCCACACAAACACACCTTCCTTCGCAAGTTTTCTCGACAAGTACCTCACTTAAAAACACCAATCTACCTTCAAGGTACGCACATATACATCATTGGTGAATTTGACCTTGATTATTGTCCAAAAGCACGATATGCTATTTGATTACTTAGATTTTCGATCATGTAATTTATAATAATGTCGCATTGACGTATTTTATTTATTTTCATTCGTAGTTGATAAGTGTTAAGTCACATCACGTTTTAGTACGTATGTACCACTGCCAAACGCACCCTGTTTATACTACGGAACACTCTTACTTACTTCTACCTGAAATACTGTTGGTGGGCGTGACAGGTCTTTAATGGTAGTAAACGATATACAGGTAATGCTCTTCAGTCACATTGAAAATAACATGGATATTACACTACAAGAAGCTATATCAGTTTGAAATAAGGTAACATAATAGTCTCCGTATAGAATGACCCCTATGTTATTGCATTTATGTCAACCTCAAACTGACTAGAGCTCGAAATGTGTTTAAACGCTACAGATCTAAAATACATCTAACATTAATAAACATATCATTTTGAAATGAAATATCGCATTGAATAATATAATGAATTTAAATATATATTCTACTCACTTTTTCTTCGAAGTATTCATTTATTGTTGCACCTATAATAACACAAGTATCTGATTTGGTGCAATATGCATTTGTGTTTTGTAAATATGATTATTCATTAAAATCAAGAACATTTAAAAAACAAACATCGTAATCACTGTTGGAAAATGTGCCACAGAATAAGTAAAACCGTATTCAATGAAAAAGATTGAACACTCTTAAACATACAGCTGTACGTCTCACATTGTATGGATTAGACTAACTATCCGGTTTTGAGTTCCACACTCCATAGCAATTTCTATTTCTGACAGAGGAAACTCTATGGGAATTAGCGGGTTAGTCATCGCGTTACTCTTCCTATCATTAATTGAGGCTGAAGTAAAGGTCGAATGGCACAGTGAATGGTCTGAGATAGGCATGGACGTTTTGATCTGAGCCACAGGGAACCACTCTGGAACACGTAAAGGTCTTTTCTTTTACAACGCCCACACCCTACAACCCCCACCTTCCTGCCATAAAAATACAGTATCATGAAACTTCCGCCATATTGGTCATGTTTCACAATTTTACCTTTTTGTGCCTCTCCTTTTATGGTCTCAATGGTCAAATATAATCTTTCTCTATTGGGAGAGAATTATAGGTAACGATTACAATTTTAGAGTTGTTTATTGTCCTGTGACACTGGTTAGAGGACGAATATCCCATTATCTCCACGTGCACTATTTGCTGATTCGCTGTTCAGGTGTATATGATGAACGTATGGTATGGAGACACATAGCGAACAACTCAATATTGTAGAATTTATTCAATAACTGACGTGTCTGTGCACGAGAGTGATATTTACTGTTCATGTAGTATATATCTCGAGTGTATTAAGCCTATCAATATGATGCAATACAATAAAAAAAATAACCAAACTCTCTGAAATATTAACAAAAATTAATGCTCTCTCACATTTACATATGCTTATACGTGAGGACGTCAGGTAATATAACCCATACCAGACTACACAAGGTCGGTATGTACTGACACGCAAATTTACAAGTTTAGTAGAATGAATTATACTTTCAAGTGTACAAAAGTTACACCAGAGATTTGCTTTAAATTCATTTGATAAGTTTAAACATCCGATTATTCCACACTAGACATTGCCATCATTTTGACAACATAACAAAATCAAAAATCGCAATTACAGTTGGAAAATGCCAAATGATCAAAGATTTCATAGCAATAAGTCCATGCCTTAAGGGTTCCGTTCTGTAACACATAGAGTGCAGTTTTATCATCAAGATTGATGCCACTTTCCCAAACATCCACACCATCGTTCAGCCTCTGCCTTATCGGTTATGTTATGTTCCACAACGAACTTCTCGAACATTTCCTTCATGATCTAGATGACCTAATCTAATCGTCTGTAACATTGCGAACGGTTTGCGTTTGGTAGTGTATGTGCCTTTAAAGTAGAATGGCTATTTTTGTAGCAAAAGCATTTCGGCGATCATTTCGAACCTGTGACTCCGTAAATATGGCTGAAAAACACGAAAATACCAATATTTAATTATAATCATATTCCAGACTCAAATTTCATAAAACCAGACCAAATGTGAACAAAAAAAGTTTTAAACAGAGTCTCCTGAATCAGGTAAAGGAGAATAAGACCACGTGTTTCGGAAGAGTAAGCGTCTTCTATTTCATTGACGACACCAGCCATAAAATATTGGTAAATCTATGTAAGTTATATCAGCTTCTCCAGTGAGAACAAGGTATGTAACAACAGGCAAACTAACTAGCATCAAACACGTCAAGTCTTATATCCACACGGAAATCGAACATTTCTCAATGATATCACTTTATGGACCATAAAAGTTCCCGCCAATAATCATCAACCTTTATCTTTCGAAACCGGTGTTTGGAGCTTTTACTGTCAGTGGCGACTTCTTGCACGAAAATCGTGAAAGAGGAACCTACACTTGATAATTATTTTACTGCGACATGTAATTACCAAAGATGTAGGAATAGTGCTTATTAGAAATGGAAAATTTACAATAAGGGAAATTGTAAAGTGGAAAACTGTCCCAATTTGTTTCGTTGTTGGGCAAAGATCGAGATAAGCGGCTGATGTACAAGAATTGTCGTATCCTTCATTTCCAATTCTGTAATGTATTTACGATGAATATGGTCAATAAATTTCTTGCTTTTTAAAGACAAGACATCTTCAATATATATGGAAGTGAAATGAAACCACTTTGCAAGGTTTTTGTGACCTGTTTGATAAACTCTTTTACAAATTTCTGTCTTGTTAAAAAAGAAAAAAAATATCAGTCAACAGAGGGTCACAGATGGTTCCCATATATACATGCGCCAATAGTCTCCTGGAGGATTTTACCACCAAACTCGATGACACAAATTCCGCTGTTGGATGTCAAATCCGGTTTAATGTTCACCAAGCAATCTTATGGCAAAAATTGAGAAACTTTGAAGCTGTCTAGAAAAATGTTAACCCCTCTTTTAGCATGTGAATGAACTTTAAAAGGTTCATTTCGAGGCTTCGTCAAATGATTAAATTTAACAAAATATTACTCTGTGAGCATCTTTTTTCTTTTTGCGTTGCACTTTCCGATTGTTAGCTTAAGCTCCAAACACTAGTTTCGAAAGATGAAGGTTGATGATTATTGGCGAGAACTTTTACGGTCCATAAAGTGATATCATTGAGAAATGTTCGATTTCCGTGTGGATACAGACTTGACCTGTTTGATGCTAGTTAGTTTGCCTGTTGTTACATACCTTGTTCTCACTGACATCCTATCATTGTCAATGGCCTGCGTATGCGAAATAATATGATTGTTAAGTTACATTTTTGATACAAGGATTCAACGCAAGAATTAAATTAACTTTAAAGTATTTTATAGCATATCGGTTTTCTTTCTTTTTTTTCTGATTAATTTATTCATGCCTGATATGGGGCTATGGTCAGCTCATACTGCATTTTTTCTCACACGTTCTATTGTTTGAACTTCTTTCCGATAGACTGATCCGCTGTCATGAAAATGCATATATATATGTACAGTCACACACATTTATAAAAACATCAGCATATTTTCTGAACAATAAAATATCACTCCGTACTTGGTATTTCGTCAAATTATGCCATCAGGAAAAGTGTGATAAAAAAAAAAAACAAAAAAATCCTTGTGGATCGTGATGAGGCGAAAAAAGGCCTTAATGGTCAAATTTCAATAAAAAGTAAATTATATGCACAGACATGAACCTGGATTAAGATGTTTTATTCAGGTTATCCACGGGATGCAAACGGATATCTACACATTTAAATCGAAATGGATATGTCCAACGTCAGGGTTGCAGCTCTTGTAGTCTTAAGTTTACTGGAAATATTATTTTTCGGTGGGATGCAGTATGGATGGTTTGCCTTTGCTTTCATCCTTAAACAAGAAGGTGTATTTAGAAATCTGTGTGTTCTCAAAGACAACGCTATGGAATCTAATGCAAGCTTTGGAAATGGGACTCTTGGAGTTGTTGATTGTTTTCCCCAAGATGAACAGTTCAATTTGATTTTTAGTATTGGAGTAGCTGTCTTTTCGTCATTGACATTTGTAAGTGGACAATTGTTCTTGTCCTTCGACATCAAAAGGATACGGACTTTATGTATGTAAGTTCATGTAAACATTATTGATGAATGAATTTTACACCTGATAGACAGATCTGGTAAATATGACTCCGACTTCATTTTCGGCTTTAAATCAATATACCAATTAACAACATGTTATTACAGCCCATGTAAATAAATACCTAATCAATATGCGTCATTATAAGAAATCAGTTTCACTTTCTGCCTGTTCCGCGTGTGTTAGTGTTGTATAATAAGTGTAGAAAATTAATTGTGTGTTACAATCTTTATTTCGTTTAAGATTATATGTAAATGAAAATTGCCATAATCTTGTTTTCATGTAATCCATGAAAATAAATATTTTGTAGATTTCACAGTTACACGAAACTTATGACAAATATTCTGACAATACAAAATCGATTGTACGTTATGGGATATAATGAACAAGATTTATTTGTCATAAGGCAGAATTGTATCAAACTTTAAATTTGTAATAAAAGGTGTTATTCACTTCTGTGTCTTTTGTACATCCCGAATGTTCTGTAGATACTGATACAGTTGATGCAGTGTATTTCAATTTCAGCCACCATGTTGCATTGCCATACTACTATGCTGCTAATGACATACCATGCGACAGAATATTTTAACATGCATCGTTTTGTCCTTTTCAAATGCGAATAGATTTATATAGTATAACAGAATACTTGCAATTTTATAGCATTCTGCATTTTGTTTAACTTTGTGTTACAAATTTTGAACTTAATCATAAATGAAGGTGCTATTCACTTTTGTGTCTTTTGTACAATTTTCATAAATTAACCTGTATTCCTGTTTGTCAACAGATCATTGGGACTCGCGGGAATTCTTTGTTTCGCTCTCATATCACAAGGTAATCGTATAAGTTAAGAAGAAAACATACGCTGCAATCAGTGCTGTTTTATTACCAATAATTACTAGTATTCGGGGAATTTATTTCGCAAGAAACCACTTCGTAAACAATTTTGTACTTAAGAGATAATTACTGAAGTATATTATGTTACTGGAAGTTATTTTCGGCGATATAAATTGTTTATAAGCTATTGTTTTGTATTGAATGTCGCTTCTTCTTTTTTATGGCCGTTATAATAGTGAAATTCAAATAGGAAAATAAACAAAAATAAAATGATTTTTCGTGTATGAAAAAGTATAGATGTAATGTCTTCAAAGCGGTTAGGTCCGCAACTAAATGTTTGCGTTATTGCTGTGCATGGAACATATGGAATGAATGAAAATGAACGTGAAATGATTTGTTTATTCTAAAGAAAATTTAAATTTAGGACACATATCGCAAATTGAGTAATTAAATAAAATGGAAAGATAATACTCTATCAGTGACAGTGTGATACAACATTGAAAGATATGAGTTTAACGAATATCCTCGATATCTGGAGTCTGTTAGATATGACAAAAAAGCTAAATGAATTTTCTTTTCATGTTACAGATAACCCGTGGTTGTCCCTTCCAGGAATAATGCTGACGGGTTTGGCAGGTCAGGCTTTGATGATAGCTGATTATGTACAGGTAAAGCGTACAACTAATGCATTTCAGCAGCGTTCTAAAACACTTTAGGTCCGCAATATCTCAGTCGGTAGAACAGTCTTTGGTGAGAGTTAGAGATATGCTTCGATCCCAACTCGCGGTTTTCTGTGTTTATTCGCAGTGTGGGATTACGAATCGTCCTGTGAACAGAATACCACTCTGAATAGAATGCGGCGAGACTCCTGCAAGATCTTCAATGAGGTAGTCACATAAGCTATAACCTGGAGACCCTGTGTCAAATGGCTTTGATTATTTAAGGGGCCATCAATCCTGTAATTAACAATAAAATGCGACGAAAATGTGTTGATGTTACTCAAGTTTGGCAATTTGTATTCGTTTTAATTTTAGTATGGTTCAGAATAAACAAATGTATTTGACGTTCTTCTAAAACTGTCAGATATATAAAAAAAAATATTGAATTTAATTATTATGGTGCAGGTTGACCTTCGCATCTAGAGTTTGACATTTCTTTCGATCACTTTGTGTTTCCTCAGTTGGCTCCTACATTTATTAACTGAAACCGCTGGCATCACGTACGAGTACTAATATATCAAATTCTAAAGCAATTCACTTGAGTGTCTTTTGTTCAATCTAACATCAGCATTAAGGAAACACTCCGCTCTCAGGAGTAACTTTGATCAATATTCATTTTTGGATCAAATGGCGAAAATGTAAAAAGTAAATATAAAAATGCCTCTTGTTTGACTTTATGTCTTGATCTGAACGGAAGTCACATTTCAGTATTAATAGCATTTATTATAATTTGTGAGGTATCATGACTACATGTTTAACACACTTTCTGTATCGCTGTATACCTTAGGTGTACCATCAAATCATTATTCCCTGATACATGAGTGAATATAAACACACTTGAATACTGAGAGGCTGGATAGTACAGATATACCAAAGTTACATTGCAGACACGTGTGGATTCTATTATTAAGGGTTGAAAATACCACAATCGTCATGTCACACACAGTCCTTTTTAGCTTTTAAAGCATATCTCCAAAATATTATCACATGGAAACTCTTCTTTAAAAGACATCAACCATTGTATTATATACTAGTGCAGCTGTATAACATTATCAAATATTGTCTACATCATTGTATTGTAGGTACTACCACTACTACGTAAAAGGTCACCCATTTACATCGGCCTGATAAATGGGTGTATGGACTCTTCTGTTCTGACAATGATGATAGTAAAGGTATGTTCTTAAGAGAACTTTGTATGTTACAAACATGATCATGTTACATATCATAATCATGATTCAAACTAAACTTTAACATGAGCAAACAATTACCGAAAGAAAGATTTATACGTAAATAAGACCAGGTGTAATGTTTTATCTTATCTAGTCATGTCAGCTCACCTTTTGCTAAGACTCCAAAACAACAATACAATACAGGTTATGCTTGTGACCACCTAAGACGAACACTTCACAACTAACTCGTTTCGGTAATGACGAATTAACAAAACTTGTCCGATAATTGTCATTTATCTAAAGATGCATATTTGCAATGCACGTGAAAACTTCATTGTTGATGAAAATACTTGGAAAAATATTTAACATTATGTATATAACCAATAGGTGACATTTATTAAATATAATATAATATAAAAAATTCTTCAAAAGAACACTGAAAAAATGTGTTGATTCTATCCATCGACAAAAATCTTACAACTGACTCCTTCAGGTTTCTGATAACTTTCATTTATCTAAATGACGAATGTTTGCCATGAACATGGCAACAGCATTTATCAGTTGATAAAAATATATATATATTTGACATTAGAAAATTGGTTACTTGGTTAATATGTGTGATATTAACCGAGTCGAGATAAATAAACTAGTAAAAAGTCAATAATTGTTTTATTATATAATCTAAAACGATTAATGATGACAGATCTGAGAATGTAACTCAACACAACGTCATATATCCTAATTATATATCAGGTAACGATTAATGATGATGCTAGTGTTGATCAATTTTTCCTCAGTGTCTTTTCAACATTTTCCTCCTCCAAGGAGGCAAAGCGCATATCTTTTTTCTGTACAGTAGAGGCAGACACACCACCCGACTCCATCTTTTCAGGTCGTCGTTGCGGTAATACATGTAAGAGCCCGGATATTTCCAGAATTGTTTTTAGCGGCGTCTGATATCAACCGATTTTCTGATATCAACTGGTTGAACTGGAAATATCTGGTTGCTATCACAATTTAAAAAGGGTCATGTGTATGTCACGATGTTTTTACTTTTTAATCTCCTACACAGATGGCTGATTATAGCAATAAATTCATTATAGTAATGTTGTGAGAAAAGTGAAGATATACGTAAGGTTAATGATGAAAATAACAATGTATGACATTTTATATCTAAATACAGTATTTTCATTCATAAAAGAGTTGATCATCAGTTATCAATATAAATCGGTCAACTTCATTTTCAGCGTTTGCATGAAGACGGAGTGGATAAGAAATTCTCGCTCATTGGTTTCGCCACCTTGTTTGTCCTGATAGCAGGCACTTGTACCCTTCTCTATCCAATGCCACAACAAAGGGAGGTAACCGAGGACGAAGAAGAAAAGCATGAACGGGATTTCTTGAAAGAAGCTAAGGATGAAGCAAAGGAAGATATGAATTTGGTTCAGCAAACAACACGAAATGGTAAACAGCTGATGTAGTTTAGGAATTCTGTCCTATGCATTTTCACGTAGGATGTAAACTGGTTTTTTAGATTTTCTAGCAAGGTTTTAAATTAACTTTATCTACAACAGCAATGATTGACATTTTATACCACGAAACATATTTTGAAAATTGCAAAATTTCATATATTTGATTCGTTAATTGTGTCCATCACCGTGAAAGTTTTTTGGTTATATGCAACTCGGTTTATTTTACCTGATCATAAATGCGTCCAAAAGAAGATAAGATTAATGTAAAACTGTTTTGATGTATCTGCTCATGTATATTTACAATAACAATTTCCTCTTCTTTTCTACTATCAATGTAATATCAAGTAGCATGTAGTTCACATTACATTATATGGTAATGAACAGGGACGAAGGAGAAGCGTCTTGCCGGGGATGCAGATCTACCTTCCGGTGACATGTTGAATAAGAGCATCGTTGAAATCCTCTGCCATCGCCTCTTCATTTCCCATGTCGTATGGACAAGTATTGTTCTTTTGAAAATCTTCTACTTCCTTGGGTCAGCAAACAGATTGATGGGTCAGATTCTCGAGGATTACACTGAAGGTAAGGTGATTGGAACCGATTCTCGATAATGACAATGAATTTTCAGGTTAATTTGAACAGTGTTAACTAACATAGGACGCGATTTTTACCAGTTTCGAGAACATCAGTTAAAAGAGTAATTGTTTAAAAGGATAAGTGGGTACTTGAGATATATTGGATGATACGGTGCCAAACAGGTTGTATTGAAAAATAAGGATTCCCTAAAGATGCAAAAGTTAAACTACAGGTACACACGTGCTCTGAAGTGTCTTGGTTGAAACGCCATGTCAAGAGTTCAGCCCTTGAGTCAGGGATTTTTTCACGTAACCTTCGTGGTCAATAGTGCACGTTTAGGTTATCTGTAGTCTCTTTCTTATGAACTAGTATAATTTTTTCTTGTTCGCTACTGATGATCTAGAGTGTTGATATTAGTCTACACTCCACTTCAGTTATTTGTACATGTAATGCAATATTACAATACACATATATAGTGATCATAAGATATTTTATTTTTGTGTCACACGTCCAGAACAGCAACCGATCATTACACAATGCACCATTGACAGGAAAACAAAATCTTTTCACTATTCTGTTTGTTGTTTTTGCTCAAGCATAACATAATGTACCAAAATATATGGCTCCGTCTACAAGTACAGCATTTCTTCGGAAAACATACCTTTAAGAATTTTTATTTTTTGATTTAGCGTTTAATCAAAATTTGAAGAAAAAGAAAGATTTACAAGAAGTCTCTTGAAAAAGTACAAGGAGAATCAGACCAAAATGAGTTTTGCAAAATCTACAAATATCATTGAAAAAGATCGTTCAAGTTTGTTGTCAAAACTCTTTATTCATTGCTTATATCTTTATTTCCGATAAACTTAATCACATTGTTACTGATAACACAGACAGCATCAACACGAGTCATATTTGATATATCCTGAAGAACGTTTACTATAAAGAACACATTCTTTGTCATAGTAGTCAACTAACTTACGTAAATGTATGTACCGAGAAATGACAGCTAGTGAGTTTGGTATATTGAGCGTCATATCTCCATATAACGATGTAATTTATATTTGTAGTAAGCTATTTTACCGATGTCATGACCTTAACCATGCTTGGAAGTTTGGTCTCGTCTTTCATCGCCGGATATACAATACATGTGGGGGAGAAAATGTTTACTGGTAATATTTTAACAATATTTTACTGACTGTTAACCGTCGATTCTATACACCTGTTTACAGGGATTTTTTTAAAAACTTTTGACTAAGAATATGTTTACAGGTGACTTTTCCCGTTGTGTATGGATATTGGCTGGTGATAGTTAACTTTGTTTGTTCCTCAGGTTTAGTATCAGCTCCTTTTTTTGGTCTTATTTTTGAAAGTCTTCACAAATTAGACATACACGTTATGAATTACACATATACATTTCCATTTATCATCATCATCAACAGCATCAGCATCAACATCATCATATCATCATCACCACCACCACCACCACCACCATCATCATCATCATCATCATCAGCAGCAGCAGCAGATAATCTGCAGCAGCAGCATCAGCAGCATCAGCATCAGCAGCATCAGCAGCAGCAGCAGCAGAACCAGCAGCATCAGCATCAGCATCATCATATCATCATCACCATCAGCAGCAGCAGCAGCAGCAGTAGCATCACCATCATTATCATGATTGTATCAATGTCATATCAACATCAGTATGTCATCACTATCTACATGACAATAACACATCGGTACACCATTATGTCATCACTATGATCATCACATACATCACCATCATCAATAGGATATAAGACATCTGTCATAGCAATACCTCATTAGCTTTTTTCGTGATCTTGGAAAAACTAACTTTTCGTTGTAACTTGCAAAAGTTAAAGCACAACCAAGCATAAGGTCAGAAAAAGAAATGTAACATCATGTCGACGTTTTGCTATTAAAAAGATAACTTTTTAAACAAATATCATTACCAAAACTGATGCTGATATATATTTTGCTTCTCAGAGGAGTACATCCTTAAAGTAAAACAAACCCAAAAAGTGTCTATGAAACACTATGCCCCAGGTTGCAACAAAATTAAAATCACATGGTAAAAAACATTTTACAACGGGAATAGTCTTGTCGCAAGGAAAACACATTCCGAATAAGAAAAGCCCTGCCTCCTACAGTGCAATATATATGATCGTGGGTACAGTTGACAACAGACAGACAAATAAACAGCACAAAAACAATATACTCCCGAGCATTTGTTCTTGGGGCTAATAAAGATAAAAGCAATAATTGTGAGAAGTTTTATGATACTTTTATGAATATTTAACATTACTATTTCCAGGTGTCTTGAGGACAGTGATTCCACTTGTAACGGCATCAGGTTTAGCCATTCTGTTGTCTGTGCTAGAATTTGTATCCACACCAACAGCCTTGTATGCCGATTTCGTCGTGTTAACCTTTCTTCGATCCTTCGTCTATTGTGCCAATATTCAGTACATCAGAACTACGTAAGTCGTTTACAAAATCAAGATAAAATTCTTGAATGAAGCATACTCTCATCTAATAAACATGTTGGTGTCTATAGATAAATAGAAACCGCCGTAAATTTCATTTTAAAAAGATTTAATGGAGATTTGACAACTGGTAACGTCTCTACAAACCCTCTCCCTTACAATTTTATTTTATAAATTAAGGATTTTCTTTGATTTTATTTCACTCGAATATTGGCAAGGGTCAGAATACTTACACACGTAAGATGTGTTGCTCTAAAAATAATTGGATATATGAAAATTACGAAATAAAGTAAATTATGGGACTAAAAAATCACTTGTAAGAATTCACAGGATAACTCTGATTATGCGATATTCTTCAAACACCCCGTCAGTTTATTATATCCCCGGATACTTTTTTAGAAGTAGATCCTTCCCTTTATTTCTCATTTCTGATGTGAGATTATAATGAATGCGGCCAGGCAAAAAATGAATTATTACAAAAAATGACTCATATACATGTGTCCCAATTAGCGACTATCCAATTAGGTATATCCTGAATTACATATGATACATAGTTGGGTATTTAAACATACGCCTCGTGTTTAGGTTCCCTTTTAAGTATGTCAGTATCGTATATGGTGTGACCTTCTCGATTTCTGGGATGTTGACTTTGAGTCAGTATGGCCTATTCGCATGGACAGAGGAATACAATGGAGCTATGACACATGTAAGTTTTACCTGTCAAGTTAAAACTATAAAGGTTATTTATTCATAATGTAACCAGACATGTCGTTCATGGAGCATACGAACGGTTAACATTGAATTGGTATTAGTTTGAATTAAAATAACAAGCAATTGGTATAACTAATTATGTTAAGTCTAAACGTTGTTATTCAAGATGGAGTAAAATATGGGAAACTATTTCATGCCGTCCAGTTATTGGTATTTGAACAATGTTAAATGGTTCTGTTGTTGTATACTTTTTTCTCATTTGAGGAGGTGACATCACTTGCATTGACTAAGATTTACAGTGTCCTCGATGAAGCAGAAGACGCTTACCCTACCGGAACACTTGATTTTATCCTTCTTTTACTGTTTCAAATCTATGTGTATTTTTTTCTTTTGTTCGTGTTTTGCCCTAGTTTTATTGATATTGAGTTTGGATTCTGATTATGTTGACATGTTGGTATTTTCTTGTTGGCATGATTTTAAAAAATCTTCATTTTTGTAAATCATGATCAAAATTTTTTTTCCCATGTTACAGGTGAGGCTGTTCCTGCTGTTTGTATCAAGTGTTTCCCTGCTTCACCCTGTCCTTGTTTTCTACAATCAAAGACGTCGTCGATAGACCCTGTTTTCTACAGTCAAAGACGTCGTCGATAGACCCTGTTTTCTACAATCAAAAACGTCTTCGATAGACCCTATTTTCTATAATCAAAAACGTCTTCCACAAACTCTGTTTTCTACCATCAAAAACGTCTTCGATAGACTCTGTTTTCTACAATTACAAACGTCGTTGATAGACATTGTTTTCTAGAATCACAGACGTCTTCGATGACGGCATAAACACTATACTATACATCTGGCCCCACTTGTATAAAACATCTCAACTTGAGATTTCCTCAAGCCCAGATTTTCCTCAGCTAATATCTCCTTGAAAATATCTTGTATGAAAATTCCTCAAGGAATTTCAGAACATCCTAGCCGATGCCTTCCTCCTATTCCTTGAGCAAATTTTATACAAGCCATTTTTGAGGAGATATCAGCTGAGGAAAATCTCGACTTGAGGAAATCTCAAGTTGAGATGTTTTATACAAGTGGGGCCTGATATACCTTGATATAACTATATCATATGTGTTCGGTCTTGTATATGTATTAATGTTACTTTAATAATTTATCTACGCCAGTATAAAATGTTTAAATGCAAGTATATATGTGAGTATATATAGTTAAGGGTGCACAATCAATATCACAAATTAAAGATAGCAAATATAAACCCCTGTGTTGCTGGAGTTCTTTTTTTCGATACAGGCATCAGAATATGTGTAAAACGAAATAGTTCCTTTTAAAACATTATTCTGAATTCTTTCCTCAGTAAAAGACACTTGTCGTTTTATGTTCCAGAACCAAATTCCCGTCTGTCTTTAAAATGTAACATTATGATACTTCAACAGAAATGGAAAAAAATTAAAATGATAAGTTTTCATTTGCTTTAACAACCTTAATTGCAAAATTTCAAAAGTGACGAATTATTTAAAAATCATTTTAAAGACTTTATTTTTGGATAGAGAAATGCTGGCCATTCAGTTGTATATAGGATCCGAAACTATCTTCCATTTCATATGTGATTTAATGAAACAATTTTCGAAGTTTTAATTTTTGCGAGCCTTTGTCCACAAACATTTTAACTTCGGGACGAGTTTCATAAAATCGTACTTAAGATGAAAATGAATTTATGTACTTTTTTCTGACATAACTCAGAAAAGTATTATTTTGACAGGTTTGACAGTATTAATATGGATGACAAATAAACAGGTAACATCCATTTTGTTACTCTATTTTTAACTTATGACGTTACGTCATACGTCATTGTCTGTATTATGACACCATTACCATTTTCTGACTGACGCAGCAAATGAAAAACTCTACTTAATATGTATATTGCATGGACAAGTTCATCGGTGAAAAGGCAGATTATGTAATTTATCTTTTCAACAATATGATTTTGTCGTTCGTTCAATTAACATTCAATTATTTTTGGTAAGGTTCACAAAGATCCACAACACATAATACGGTATCAAAGGATTAACAAGGCTCCTGAGATACTGTTAAACCTTTCCTCTCCAAGAGCTGCTATCTCATCGTGTATCCAAATCACAAAAAAAAAATGCATTTCCACTTTACATTCTCTTTTGCCATTGCCTGAAATTTGAAGACAGATTCGCTAGCACGAGTTTCTGACAAGCCATACAACTATCCAGGACTCATGTCCAAAAAAGACCCAGTTACTTCAATCCGAATGTAACAGACACTTACTTACATCGTAAGTTTCTCAATAAGATTGTGCTTTTAGTTTCTTACAATGTCTCATTTACTGTTTCTTGATATTTCAATCAGGATTATAAAAATGACTAATGAATTGGTAAATTGTTGGCCGGTTTTTAAAACTTCCAATGTCAGATGTAGACTTATTTCAAAAACCCTTGGTGTATACTACCACAAATGAAACAATTCTAACGACGAGAATCAAGACACCATTTCATGTAACAGATATACGCTGCACATGCATGTGTGCGCTGTGATACATTATGTCCCTTTGGGTAGACGTTGTAATGCATATTTAATGTATTAAAGCGCTGCGATACATTGTGTCCATGTATATAGGAGCTGCGATACATTGTGTCCATGTATATAGTCGCTGTGATACATTGTGTCCATGTATATAGGCGCTGTGATATATTGTGTCCATGTATATAGGAGCTGCGATACATTGTGTCCATGTATATAGTCGCTGTGATACATTGTGTCCATGTATATAGTCGCTGTGATACAATGTGTCCATGTATATAGGAGCTGCGATACATTGGGTCCATGTATATTGGCGCTGCGATACATTGTGTCCATGAATATAGGCGCTGCGATACATTGTGTCCATGTATATAGTCGCTGTGATACATTGTGTCCATGTATATAGTCGCTGTGATACATTGTGTCCATGTATATAGGCGCTATGCTACATTGTGTCCATGTATATAGGCGCTATGATACATTGTGTCCATGTATATAGTCGCTGTGATACATTGTGTCCATGTATATAGTCGCTGTGATACATTGTGTCCATGTATATAGTCGCTGTGATACATTGTGTCCATGTATATAGGAGCTGCGATACATTGTGTCCATGTATATAGTCGCTGTGATACATTGTGTCCATGTATATAGTCGCTGTGATACATTGTGTCCATGTATATAGTCGCTGTGATACATTGTGTCCATGTATATAGTCGCGCTGTGATACATTGTGTCCATGTATATAGTCGCTGTGATACATTGTGTCCATGTATATAGTCGCTGTAATACATTGTGTCCATGTATATAGTCGCTGTGATACATTGTGTCCATGTATATAGGAGCTGTGATACATTGTGTCCATGTATATAGGCGCTGTGATACATTGTGTCCATGTATATAGTCGCTGTGATACATTGTGTCCATGTATATAGTCGCTGTGATACATTGTGTCCATGTATATAGTCGCTGTGATACATTGTGTCCATGTATATAGGAGCTGTGATACATTGTGTCCATGTATATAGGAGCTGTGATACATTGTGTCCATGTATATAGTCGCTGTGATACATTGTGTCCATGTATATAGGCGCTGTGATACATTGTGTCCATGTATATAGGCGCTGTGATACATTGTGTCCATGTATATAGTCGCTGTGATACATTGTGTCCATGTATATAGGAGCTGTGATACATTGTGTCCATGTATATAGTCGCTGTGATACATTGTGTCCATGTATATAGTCGCTGTGATACATTGTGTCCATGTATATAGGCGCTGTGATACATTGTGTCCATGTATATAGATACTTTGTGCATGTATATGTGATACATTGTGTCCATGTATATAGTCGCTGTGATACATTGTGTCCATGTATATAGTCGCTGTGATACATTGTGTCCATGTATATAGTCGCTGTGATACATTGTGTCCATGTATATAGTCGCTGTGATACATTGTGTCCATGTATATAGGAGCTGATACATTGTGTCCATGAATATAGGAGCTGTGATACATTGTGTCCATGAATATAGGAGCTGTGATACATTGTGTCCATGAATATAGGAGCTGTGATACATTGTGTCCATGTATATAGGAGCTGCGATACATTGTGTCCATGTATATAGGAGCTGCGATACATTGTGTCCATGAATATAGGCACTGTGATACATTATGTCCATGTATATAGGCGCTGTGATAAATTGTATTTATGTATATAGGCGCTGTGATAAATTGTGTCCATGTATATAGGCACTGTGATAAATTGTGTCCATGTATATAGGCGCTGTAATACATTGTGTCCATGTATAACCGCATTTTTATTGTCACCATCATAATTTGTTTTCCTAGTATGTCAGCGTCGTAATTAGTTTAGACTTGTTCATAATACCCTTCGTTGTAGTAAAATGATTTGGTCGGGAGGTGCAGAGGTAACATGCTCGCTTTTAACACAGCCGTCCGGGGTTCGATAAGGGTCACCTGCACGACCACGTGGGTTTTCCCCGGGTACTCCGGTTTCCTCCCACAATGAGACCCCTCGCGCGATTACATCCGGGCAAACAAGAGAGACTACTGGTGGAATATCTAGCACCAACTCTAGTGGAATAGCTAGCGTCAATTCTAGTGGAATAGCTAGCGTCAATTCTAGTGGAATAGCTAGCGTCAATTCTAGTAGTCTAATGTCTGAAATTACGGATTGCTTTCCACAGGATTAACATTTCAACTGAGTCTTCAGTATTGGAGTAAGTTTCTTTGCTGTAGCTACATTTCTTTGTGGACAAATCTACGCATCATTTATACGGTAGAACTTTCAAGCCGCGGTGCATTTGCACCTAGCTGCTATGGGGAGACATACTAAATTAACTCTTTATCTAAACATTAATTCATCGCGTAGCACTGAATGATGAACTCACGTCTGTGTTGGTCCTTGAAGTATCCTACATGGGTTGCATAATCAGATCTGAAATCCCAGGTGTCGTGAGCTTCAATTAATATCTATTCAGTGCATTCAGGTCGATAGTAACATGTAAAGTAAGCCGATAGATTTATAGCATAAAAGCATGACAAAAGCATTGCTATTAAGATAGTAGGTTCGTTCGTCCCGAGGTGTATTGCATATTTTTAATACATTCTTGGGTATTGAATATGTGAAAACACTATGACTACTACACATTTTTGAAGTGTTGAGACAGTGGGGTTGTCCCGAAGTGTATCGCATATTGTTTTTCGGAAAACTCTTGGGTATTGAACAGGTGAAAAACTATGACTACTCCAAATTTTTGTAGTGTTGATATAGTAGATTCGTTCCGAGGTGTAGCACAAATTGTTTTTAATACTTTCTTTGGTACTGAACATGTGAAAACACTTTGACTACTGTAATCTGATGTGGTATTAATTAATCTTCAGTAGCAAACGATGATCCTCAATGCTTCGACAGCTGTAAATCCTAAACTTATTAGAATTCAACTTTCAAATGTATTTTACTTCGAGAACTGCAAATATGTGCTAAAATTTTTAGAATTCAATCTTAAAATGTAGTTTTACTTCGAAAACTGCAA